TGATTTATTTATTAACCATTTATCATTGTTAGGCATGTAGACAAATTTCCAGTTATCGCAAGAGTTGTCTCACTTGTTCAGAACACCGATATAATAAATTTACTTTTTATATTGGGTCATACCACAGACATTACCATCTAATTTGACTTTTGAATCGTTTAATCTGTTTTATCCGTTTAGTACCTAATAAGCACACGACAGCCAACACCCGCAACAAATTGCTTATTACATTTGCATTATCAAAATGCACTCATAGCACTCAGGGGAATCAGTAAGTAAGTATTGCTCTAACCAGAGCCCTCTCGCTTGTTGTGAAACAAGCGCGTCACGCAGTACGCGTAGGCACATAAGTAAGTAAGTAAGTAAGTAAGTAAGTAAAGATTATGACATAACATCATCACAAGTGTCTACAAAATATCATTGCACTAAATGAAAAAATAATTTAAATAAATATATTTTTCCATCAACTGTCAACATTAATAATTTATCAAATTCAATTTTATTAATTAATAAAATCTAATACATAATACATTATCTATAAATAATTCATTAATACTTCCCAGTGGAATAAAGATTTATGAAACGCTTCTTTGCCACAAAAGGATGAAACCAAAGATATTCATTATGTGTCTCCTTATTGCTTAAATAACTGGGTCCTTCAATTTTCCCTAAAACTTCATTCGAAACATTCCAAAAATAAAAATCATTTACACTGTTTTTAGAAATCACATGGCTATGTGAAAGTAAGTAAGTAAGTAAGTAAGTAAGTAAGTAAAAAGTATGACCAATGACATAAAATCATCATAAGTGTCTACAAAATATCATTGCACTAAATAGAAAAATAATTTAAATAAATATATTTTTCCATCAACATTAATAATTTATCAAATTCAATTTTATTAATTAATAAAATCTAATAGATTATAAAGCAATGAAAGGCATTAGTTTGGTCAAATCAAACAGAACATATGCTATCAGACTTTTAACTGACTAAGGTAGGGTTAAAACAGTTTCGACGCTAGCAACGATCCCCTTTTACATAGTTCCACTAAAAATAATAATTTAAGGTTAAATATGTATAGTGATAGGTAAATAAAGTATAATGCAATCAAAATTGTAATGAAAACGGTAGAGATAAAGTATACTGAAACTAAGAAAACGTAGTCGCAACGTCATGAATCGAAATGTACCCAAATTACTCTGAAAAGACCCCCGCGCAAACTTCCCGCGCAATTTATATATAAATAATTCATAAAAACTTCCCAGTGGAATAAAGATTTACAAAACGCTTCTTTGCCACAAAAGGATGAAACCAAAGATATTTATTATGTCTCTCCTTATTGCTTAAATAACAGTCAGAGGAAGACAAAAAGCCCAGCACCACGGACTGAATGATGTATCCTTCAATCTATTACCTCAGAAGTGTAAAATTTTACGGATGAATTGATCCCAGGGGGGACTCCCAATGCACCGCTTCGGGGGTAATTGATACACCTTTCACAAGCATGAGCCACTTTGGTCTACTTGCTGTGAGCAGTGGCGAAACTTTGCTTGTTGGCGCCCCCCGCTCAGTGACGAAAAGCGCCCCCCTAACATTTTTTGTCCCTAAAAATAAAATTAAAAAAAATAAAAGGTCGGGTACTTTTTTTCTCGCCCCCCTACAGCTTTTTGCGCCCCCTGAAGCAAAAAAGGGTACCCCAAATATTTTTTTCGCGTTGGCCGAACGCTAAATTGGACAGGGAAATACACAAACAAGGCGTTTTTTCAGTGAGGTCTAAAATTCAGGAAAATTGCGCCGCCCTTATACGGCGCCCCCCCCGCACAGCCGGGTCTGCGGGGCCCTAAGTTACGCCACTGGCTGTGAGGTGTCTCAGCTACATGGGTTGGGGGTCCCCTTTTTTTTAATATTTTTTTTGCATTATCAAAATGCTGTGGTTATCAAAGCGCTCAGCATCACATGCATGATCTTCACTGGTAGCGAATTAATTGGGGACCTCAGGCTTTTCTGTTCATAAACAGATTGTGGATGCGGCGGAATGACAGGCTGACTGCTGCCCAGTAAATAGCGAAAAAGGACTATGTATATAATGTAACATAACAAATTCACACATAATAAAGTCATTATAAAACTGTTCTTGAGTTATTAATATGTTTATCAAAGGCACACCAATTATATTTGGTCATTTAATTTGTTATATTTCTCCAAGTTAGCTAAAATCGTACACTTTCCTAAATGAATTAAAGCAGCAGAGGGGATGGCGGCTTCTCTGGGATCTAATACATCCTGAATGCTGAAGCAGCCCAACACCATGTCTCAACGCACTGGTTTTGGGATGTTTGCCCCTGTTTGCCTGTCCGGGTCAATAAAGCAGTCGAGCATCATGTGTGTTATGTTAAGCAGAGGCCGCTATTGAGGGCGTCCAGGCGTCCGTGGACGCCCTAAAATTATTTTCTGGTGGCTGGTGCTTGAAAATAGAAATAGTGATTAGTAATGGTATTCGGAAATATCTAACCGCAATATAAAGCTCTCTATTCATTCAAACGTTCGAATGTAGGCGCACGCATGATCTTTGTGAAATTTTGTGTTGTAGGGTGTCCAATCCTCGTTTGGACAACTTATACGCGCAGTTTTAACACATAGTTAATTGTAAACGGTACAAAGCACATCAAGCGCATCCACTACAGGTTATCTATATGATTTGGTTGTCCAGGACACTTTGCAATCTGAACTTTTATGGTACTGCGCGGCTGAGATCGTACACGTGTGTGTCCTGTTTCACTCATGTTATAAGTTTTATTTTTTGTTTATTTGCTGTCGCCTGTGACACATTACATACATGAGGCACTGTGGACTGTGTGTAACTGTAATGTACGTTGGAATAATTAAATTAATTAATTAACTCTCTGCTATGGTAATGGTATTGTATGCAGTCATCGGTGAATAGACATCGGCAGTTTAGGGGGGAGCTTGGGGCGGCCCCCAAGCCCCCTCCCCCAGTCGGTTGGACACCCAACAAAACTGACAGCCAGCTCCCACGAGCCGCCTCTGATGTTAAGCATTCCCAACCAACAAATGTGGGAACTAAAAGTAAACTAAAGTAGAGTAAAATGTATGACATAACATCATCACACATGTCTACAAAATATCATCGCATTATGTGAACAAATATAAAATAAATATTTCCCCACCAACATTAATTATATTAAATTTTAAATTTTATCTAAAAACATTATCCTATTTTAAAAACCTAAGCAAACTTCCCAGTGGAATACAGATTTATAAAACATTTCTTTGCCACATAGGGATGAAACCAAAGATAATCATTATGTTTTTTCTTTATTACTGACATAACTGGCTCCTTCAATTCTTACTTAAGGGGGCCGGGGGGGTCTTCATCAAAATTCTCTCGAAATTGACTTTATAGTTGTTTCTGGTAGAAGGGAGTGATATCTACCAGCTGCTTTTGGTCCAATGGAAAAATATTGTTCCTAGCCAAAATTATCGCCGGTTTAAGGTCAGCGCTTATGTGTAATTGTATTGCGTGAGCGATTTTCAATCGCAAATTCTGAAAATCGAGTCTAAAAATCTATCTTCTCCTACATTTTTTGAGCAATCTCCCTGAAACTTTCAGGATATGTTCTAGGGACCATTTAGAAGATTTGATCGAGCCAAAATTTATTCAATTTTGAAAATCTTGGACCTCGTTTTTTTACGATTTTTTCAGGTCCAAGATTTTCAGAATTAAATAAAAAAATTTTAAAGGCCTATCTCAAAATTTTGGCTCGATCAAATCTTCTAAATGGTCCCTAGAACATATCCTGAAAGTTTCAGGGTGATTGCTCAAAAAATGTAGGAGAAGATAGATTTTTAGACTCGATTTTCAGAATTTGCGATTGAAAATCGCTCACGCAATACAATTACACATAAGCGCTGACCTTAGACCAGCGATAATTTTGGCTAGGAACAATATTTTTCCATGGGACCAAAAGCAGCTGGTAGATATCACTCCCTTCTACCAGAAACAACTATAAAGTCAATTTCGAGAGAATTTTGATGAAGACCCCCCCCCCCCCCCCGGCCCCCTTAAAACTTCATTAGATACATTCCAAAAATTCTCCCAAAAACAACTAAAGATCGAAATAGATCTAAATCTAAGACAATTAGCAAAATCGGACAAACAGACTTGAATTTGTAGATCATATAATTTATAAAGCACATGTTATTGCCCACTGAAAGTTAAAAGGGCCTGTTAATAATTAGTTAATTTATATTTATGCCAAAATGCAACGTTACGCTACTGTCCACATTGATTTTGACATTTAACTATTTAGGATATTGAAACATGATTTGAATTACATGAGATTGATATGTTAATAAACATGTTCACTGTTCAGTGAGTAAAACTATGACATCAAAAAAGCTTAAGTTTTTATTAAATTATGATGATAAAATGGGTGATAAGTCCTCTTAAATGCATGTTTTGTAGTTTAAAATAAACAAATATTTAAGCACTGTTCCCAAGCATCCAAAGCACTTGCTGATAACAGTAATAAATGATGTCCATGATTTTCCATCATAAACTATAGCAGAGGCAGCTATTGAGGGCGTTCGTGGATGCCCTAGAATTATTATCTGGTGGCCCTTGCTTTAAAATAGAAATAGTACTGTCTATCTGATGATCTATATGATCAGGTTGTCCAGGACACCCTGCAATTTGAACTATTGACTGCTAGTGCTATCATACTGCGCGGCTGAGATCGTACACGTGTGGTGTCCTATTTCACTAATTTATAAGTTTCAGTTTTTGTTTGCTGTCGCCTGTGACACATTACATACATGAGGTCCTGTGTGTAACTGTAATGTAGTTAGAATAATTTGATTGATTAACATTTTGTCTCTAAATTATTTATTGTATTACTGTATAAATTTTAAATGAATTATAATTCTCTCCTACTTTGCTTTCATCACTATGATTTGATTTAACATCAGCTTTTTTTCTTAGATAATACAAAATGTCCCAAAGTATCGTCACAGCTTACCAGAATAAGTATGAGGATGATAATGAAGATAGCGAGGACTCTGAAATTCAGATAGTCTTTGTGAAGAGGAAAAACCACAAACTATGCAATCTCATCCTAGACAATTGCTTTATTTCTGAAACTGGCTGTATTGATAAGGTATGTACTTTTTTTTTTTATCTAGACACTTATTTTACTTCGGTGTATTCCAACAGCCACAATGTTACACAAGTGCAACCAGCCAATTACAGGAAGCCGAAGGATCTTTTTTGGCCAGTGACGGTTAAGGTAGTGTGTACCATACTTTCTTCGTCCGAGACTTTGCTGCAATGTGCAGCTCCTCATTTAACCCTCACACCCGATTTCTCGAGTATTCGGCTGAGTAGACCGGGGGGCTGCATAGACCACTCATGATCCTTAGCTGAACGTCGACGACGCTCACCCCACGACCAGGCAGTCAGTGGGTTTCGAACTCGCAACCTAACGATTGTAAGACAGGCGTTCTAACCAACTGCGCTACCTGGCCTATAATAGGGTATATGCAAAGAAATAATTTCAGTCAAAATTTCGGTCAAAACCGTGAAATTTGGTCAAGGGAACGGCAGAAAAGCTCCTCTTCAAAAATATTCCAAGATTTCTTTTTATATTCTGATGATTTTCCGTTAAATATCAAAGCTTTCTTTGACTCTTTGAGAATAGAACTTTGAATACCTCGATCGTGTCTTGTGCCATCCTCAGTGACCTTGTAAGATGGTCATTCAAGAAAAAGTCAGTCAAAACAGTGAAATTTGGGTCGCAGAAAGCTGAAATTTGAAAATGTCCAACCAGTAGGACATATTCAAAATTTTCATTGCATCAAAGGTTTCTCCGGATATACTGCTTCCAGTACCTTGATGGCGACTTGTGTCACTCTCACCGACTTCACTGATTGGTCACTGGTCAAAAATTCAGTCAAAACTGTGGAATTTCGGCAGAAAAGTTTCTATTTAAAAATACTAAAATTTGGTTGGAGGAAAGCTGTTTTATGAAATTTTCTTACAGATTAGGTATCAAAATTATGTCGGGTAACATGAACATTGAACAACTCATTTGAACTGTGAAAACAGAAATTGCAGTTATAATTTTTGTATTAAAACCAATCATTTTTTCCCTTTTTATTGATGAATCTAAATGTGTTCATGTATGCAATAAACCTCGAATATAACCTCATAGTTATCACAACTAAATAGCTTCCGATCTCCAAAGGCCTCAACTAAATATCCGAAGATCCCAGTCTGGATACTGGAACCTAGTTATAATAACTTTGAACCTGGTTATGACTTTGGAAACTCAAGGATAAAATGTGATTTTGAACAAAATTACATAAACAGATTATATACATGGTATATAAATATAACCTCCAGGTGGCGGACATCTGCAGCAGAGTTACGGAATGCGACCTGGCTCATAACAATATCTCTGATTGGAATGAGGTGAACATATTTTCTTTAATAGTCGCAGAATTAGTTTGGAGTGAAACTGATCGATGTTGGAGCAGCAGTTCGATTAATTCATGTGATTTATATTGCCATAAATTAATACATTTACTGCATTGAGCATTGGAGATGTAACAACAATCTGTTACTTATTGATGCCTCCTAATATTTGAATATCTGATATCTGTGTTCCAAAGTGGACAACAATATCCCTCAATCCTTTTAACAAAAACCCAACAATCATCAGGTATTCAGACTACTGGATGTTGGTAAACACATAAAGTTTCTAAATCTAAGTAACAACAAGTTGGGACGATGTGAACAAATACCTGAGAATCAGTATCCTTGTCTGCAGTGTTTAGCGCTAAGTGGTAATGATAATCATTGGGATAATCTGCTTTCTTTGCTCCCTTCATTTCCATCGTGAGTCAAAGTTGGCACGTATTGTGTTTTTTATGTGCCTGTTTCAAACGTGTATTATACAGGGTGTTACAAGAATCGTGTCCAAATTTGAAATTATAATTTCCCAAAGACCAGGGAAAAGGTGACAGTTTGGATGGGCCTCGGTAACCAGGTTGTCTTCTCAACAAGTTTTTAAAGGCCTATCTCAAAATTCTGTCTGGTTCTCTTCTAAATGATCCCTAGAATGTATCCTGAAAGTTTCAGGGTTATTGCTCAAAAATGTAGGAGAAGATATATTTTAAGACTCGATTTTCAGGGCACACCGCACACGATCAAAAATCGCTCTCGCAATACAATTACACACACGCGCTTACCTTTGACCGGCAATAATTTCGGCTAGGAACGATATTTTTCCACGGGATCAAAAGCATCTGTATTACTCCTCTCTATCAGAAACAACTAAAAAGTCGATTTTGGGAAAATTTCCATGAATACCCCCCTCCTCCTCCCCAGACCCCTGCCCCCTTAAGGGCCATTCAAAATATGGACATGAGTCTTGAAACACCCTGTACATAATGAAGTATTACTGATTTAAATTGTGTGTACTGTCGGATTGCCAAGAAAATTTGCAGTGTGTCCATTCGACGCTAATTAATTGGCAGCAATATTTGAGTCACGTCAGTAGTGTAGGTGAGTTCATTATTACTACCACAAAAGAGTATAAGTTATAAATTTCACCTGGTGATAACTGATATATACCCTCAGCCTGTCTCACTTGAACATTGGACACAGCAACATTACAAGCATGCCCTGTCCTGCAGACATACAATTTCCTAACCTAACTGAGCTCAACCTCATCGAAAACAGCATCTCTTGCTTTGATGATGTATCTGAACTCGCCACTACATTCGTCAATTTGCACACTCTGGTTTTGAGCGATAATCCTGTCAGTTCGTTTGGAGATAATCAACAAGTCAGTAATTGTTTTCTTTTTCTCCCTACTGGTTGGTTTACCAAATTATTTTCAGTGCGTTTTTGTGAGCAGTGATCTAACCCACACGTGAGCACATGGCGTACGGCAGCAAATTTGTAAACATTAGATCATCATTAATTAAATTCTCCGCGTTATGTCGTTTATGGAACACGCGCAATACACAATTCTAGACATTGGCGAGGAAATTCCGCGCGCTAACAACAAAGCGCGCGCGCCGGTCGGCCTTGAATTATATATCTAGCGAGCTAGCTAGCTTAGCTGCCTATTTTAAACTTAGGTCCATACGTGTTATTATGGTAACGGCTGTTATACTCGACCTCATATTCACATAACGACCAAATTTACTGTTAATTCAGTAGAGCTTAAATGTCTGTTCGACAGTCGACTGACTATATATATTCTAATATAGCAAGTCATTACAAAATTATCGATCGATTTCAGGTTGTTGAGAGATTTGAGAAGTTATCGAAGCTTCACGTGAATAACATAACAATAAACTCGTGGGATGAAGTATCCAAGTTGAGATGGTTCCCGGCCCTCTCAGATGTCAGAATGGTTCACTGGGATCTGTTTGGGGTGAGTTATTTTTAGAGAAATGTGGTTTTATTCACTGCTTAAATATTATGTATTGTTCGCTGAGAGATGTTTGAACTTTGAATGGCGACTTCTTAAGAATCAATAAACATCCTCCACCATTTCGCTGATCGCATGTTCTATGGCAGGACATGAATGAAGAAGACAGACGGAAGATGTTAGGAGCGTTACTTCCAAAAACTCACCTCATCAACGGAGCTATAATTCCAGACAGAGAAGCTGCAGAACGTTGGTACATGAGGAGGTGCCAGGCTGGGAACATTGAAACTAGCAGGTATTAAGCGGAAGTAGGGTCCTAATCCTATACTGGTCTCTTTATTCGTTCTACTGTATTCTACTGTTATTTGCATGAGATTGTTTGCATTCACGACTGAAATTGTAAGTGCATGGTAATAACTAACTGCATGAGCTGAGTATATCTGTTCAGTGACAGGATGTACTATGTGGATGATATTAGGTGAGGAATATGTTTTGTGAGAAATGTGTTCGTTTTGTGAGTGTGCGTTAGTTTGTTGTAGGGTTTGTTTTATTGACTGCAGTGAGAACAGAGTCTGTGAGCTGTGGAGAGGAGAAATACTATCTGGCTAAACAAAGCACACCCCGTCTAATTTACAAGACATATTTTAGTATTTAGAAATATGTGGTAAGTTTAGAAGACCATGTTTGCAGATTATAATATTATTTTTCCCAGGTACAAGGAACTATATGAGAAGTACGGAGAACTACCTGCAATAGGGGACATAAAACTAGGGGGAACAGACGAGACAATAACCCTGAAACTATGTGTACCCGAGAAGGGAGTTGAGATGGAGAAGTCCTTTAGTATCTACGATACGGTCAGTGGTGCTTTAGATCTTTAGATTGTGGCGGGGGGGGGGGTTATTACCCCCTCTACACTTTCTGTCTAGTGTTCATTAAAGATCATGTCCCATTGAAATGTCCTTGTTTAGTTTGTAGTTCTGTCTTTTATTTCTGTACTTCTTGGATAAGGATATCTTTCTTGTCAGTTAAAAACTATCAAAACACTAATAAAGACTGACTGCAAGTTGACGGGAAAAATACGTCTTGAGAAGGAGGGCGAGGATATCGCTAAATATGATTACAGTACGTCCTATATTCTCTTTCTTAAAGCAGTTGGTATTCGACAGATTGTTTTTCTTCTGATTTTTACAGTCTAATATAGACGGATTAAACGGATTAAACGAATATAGATGATTTTGAAGGTAGATTTTTCTCATCGATTTTTCTCCAGCGATTATACATAGATCTGACCTAAAGGATGGAGATAAACTGATAGCCCATTCTCGAAAGTATCTCTTATCCCTCCTTGATTCCTAGCAAAACACAGCGTATCGTATGTTCGTTAGTCAGTTTCCATGTTGTTTATAAATCATGTTTTGTTCTGTTCGTCAAGCTTCAACCAATAATGTTTAATTTTTTTAAATGTTAGAAACCTTTTCCTAATTCTATACTCATTAAAATGTAATCTATTCTGAACAAAGTTAACCAACTTTACCCTTATTTTCAGTATAAAACTGTAATGACTGGCCTGGAGAAGCAGCTAAAAGAGTACCTCTCCCTCAACATCTTCCTTCACAAAACATCAGACAACACCGTCTACACAGAATCCCGCATGAAGACGTCCTCACATAACTACGTGGTATCGGACACGGAAGCAAAACCAGGAGAAGTGAGGATAAAGCAGTACTGGCAGATGTTGTACCAAGTGATTAACGGTGTGCTGCCAGTTGTGAAGCCGGAGGAAGGGGACTCGTTAGTTTTTAGAATTGCTGCTAGGTTCGAGTGTAGAAGCTCGGTGGGGGCAACTTACAAAGAAGATCATGCTATGGGTAGACTGAAATAATTGTAATAATATGAAATTTTGCGGGTGAAGAAGTTTTCGAAGGAGAAAAGATTAAGAAAATTGATCTTGCTTATTTTGAACTATGTTAAGTTTTAAAAACTTAATACGTTGCCAGTTGCCAGTTACTTACTTAGTGGTCAATTTTTCAATGAGACAGGTTGTTGTAATATTTTATTCTCTCATGCAATGCCTGGTATGATTTGTTTAATTGTGCTTTATAATTTATGTTAGATATGTAATTAATTATGTGCGCGGTATTCCAGAATGTTCGTTTTATATTACTTAATTGATTGTTCTTAAGACATCGATTTTTTTTTCTGGCACTCTCGCCTTTTTGGCACCTTCGAGCTCTTTATGTTGATCTACTACCGAGAGGGGCAAGATACTATACATTTTGTCGGCTAATAACTGTTGGTAACTCCACCAAATGTCCAGTGAATATTTTAATGAGGAATGTCTGCAATAAAAATAAAGTTACTTTGGGGAAATTCATTTGCGACATACTAGGTCGTTATGATCATATTTTAATTTTTATAGAATAAGCTCGATTGAGTTATTGAATGATTGGGCAATGTGCATTCATGATATTTATAATAACGAATTGATTACAAAAAGCTTAATTTTGATAAATTTAGATTTTCTATGTATTTTCAAAATGTATATTTAATTATAGAATTAGTTTACAAAATATTCCAGTTTTCATTTTATCAGCAATTTCCAAGTACTGTGTCAGCACTAATGCTTAAAACGAGTGTAATATGATAATATTCGTAAATCACCGAATTTATCCCTACGAAAAATAGGTAGATCAATGATTACATAAGTTTATCAGACCTCAACGGCCCCCTCACCTTTTGAAGCCTCTTTTCCTCAACTCTCAACCTCCTTCAGTCCATTATAACGGCCGGTGCAACCCTTCTAGTGGACAGTCCCTTACTCTGAAATCTGAACTTAACCTTTAACTGAACCCTTTGCGGTCCACGACTGTTTAATCGTGGGAAATGTATTGAAAGTTCCGGTTAAGTACTACAGTGATACTGAGACTTGGAGCTGTCTGTGCGGTTTCCAGCTATAGCTTTTAAATAGTCTAGTTTCTTTTTAACTCCACCTTACGTCAGCCTCTTACAGCCCACCTTGAAATGTTAATATTCTTTAACAATGGAATGCCTCACAAGTAACCGGCATCTAATTTCATTTCTAGATCCGTTCTAAGCTTGGATTGGATTGAATACTAGATTATATGTCTTGTTGTTGTTCGGAGTGCTATTATTATACCGTTTTCCGACGGTATGTATTGGTCAGGAGAGTCTACTTTAGCTGCTATTATGTTATTATCCAGCACATTTTAGATGTTTACCCACTTGCCGGCTTCAACATATAAGTTATATCACAGTAGAAAACATTGCTCTGGATGAATATATTCACTATAACGTACTCGGAGCTGTTAACTTTGAGCGCTTAACAATGAGTCGTAGTTGCATGCTAAATAAAATTCAAGACTAGTTACCTTAAAGTTCTAATACTAATGCATATGCAGTTATTTTACCTAGACAATACTTTAATGCAGACTGCTTGGCAGTTCGTCCTCTAGATCTTTTTCTCTCCTAGACCTGATCCTGATCATTGTCTACGAGCCAAGATCTGGACACGAGACTAACCTGGCCTGTTCCTCAACAAGCTGACATTTAATACTGCTCCACAATTTCTACATTTTAGTACCTGGTGCTGGACATCCTCAAGTTCAGAGGTAGGCAAAGCATCTTAATGCTATCCTCTAGTGGGCTTTCTATGCCCAGCCTCTCTTAAAAAAATTTTTAAAAAAATCCTCAAGTTGTTTTATAGATAAGACTATAACATGATAAGACATGAGTCAATACCATGAATTTTTCTTTATCTTGTATAAACCTTGCCAGTAAATGATCGGGTGTAGGATTTGGCCAAGACCCTAAGCTGGGAATGATCTATTGGAGCAAATTTGCAATTAGCCTTGACAATACGTACAAGAGGTTAACATAAAATCAATTGAATCTCAGATGGAATGTCATTTATATGATAATATATGAGTGGTGACCGGTGTTACCACTTGTAGTAGTACTAAGTATAAAATACACCCACTACTCACTAGACAACAAGCACTGTACCCAAATTATGTAGCTCTATAATGTTGACTGTTACTGACTTAACATCCGTGAAGTACACGTGTAGATTGGTTAATTCGCGGATTATTATAACGACTGCTTTGTTAACGTAATGCGTGGTAAGTATAAACTTGCTGCCGGGTTTATACAATGCACTATTTATAAATATCTTCACCCTGTACTGCACGAGTTAACGATTCCAAATCTGCTTTTTTTTAAATCTTTCGTCTTTCGAGCTCGCTCGGTCTTCAATTTTTAATTATGAGCATGAGCATTGTCTTATGAGCATTGTCTTTTTTTGTATGGGTGGGTCTTTATTTGGGGGTGATTATGAGCATTGTCTTTTTTTGTACTGATATGGTAGGCTTTTTTAGTCTTTGCGATGCTTATAATATATTCGAACTTCACCATTTAATACAGATTTATTTTGCAGGATCAAAGCGTTCATATCATCATTGCTCCACTAGATGGTAATTGGTAGCAGGTAGTATATAGTCCACCTGTAGGGTAATTAATGATCTTATAATGTCTCCGAATTCTGATAGAAACTATGTCCGCCACGAGCGGTTAAATCCTGGACATCATGTTCCAAAAAGGAAGCTACAGTCTGCATGTGTAATGTGTGTTTCTACCTTCTATAACCACCGGAATAATCTAGAGCAATTGATCCAATTAAATACAATCTCTCCATCCACAAGCCACACTTTTGACAACTACTGACTATGTGTAATGTGCTCTTGTTTTGTTTTATATGGAAATTTTCTGTAATTGCAACGTAATTCTTTTGTAATTTATACCACACGACAGGCAGTTCTTTAAAAGTGGTTAAATTAAACTTAATTAAGCCACCAGCAAGTTCCCTCTAATTTCCACATATCAGTCATTAGAACTGGTAAAAAACCTCAACCATTCGACAGATCGCATTGACCTGTCATAAACTTATCATTGCATTTCTAGAGATAAACGGTACACTGATCCCTGCATAGTGCATGTCTGAAACAAAGACCTCGAAATGAGGTTCATATCACAAAACCACTTCCATAATCCCACGTGTATTATATCACGTGACCTTTGTAGTTTTAATCTCGAATATTGGAGAAGTTTGTGGTGGTCTTTTGTCACGTTAATTTTCAGTTTCTGAAAGGTGGCGGAAGTTTTATCTCCTTATTACTATTTTCAGATCTACTAATTGCTGATTATTGGCCGCTATATTTCATCTATTAGCGAGGTTATACCAGATCACCAAACTTGTTGTCTATGTTTTTCTAGGTTCTCTATTACTGTTTAAGACCCCTGATTCTGACATATTTCTACATTGGCCGGCGCAATTCGGGTGTTCTCGAATCTTGGTTGTTTTGAAATAACGAACGAGAGCTGATCTTTTGATACCAAGTATTAACCCTGCTTAGCTTCCAAGACAACTGTATATAATTATCAATTGTGTGACGATATTATAGCTACCGGATATTTCAAACCATATAAATATTTCTATAGATGTTTATTATCTTTTCCCCCGTAATCAAGTGAAAATGGTTAAAATACCAGTGGCGACTTGTTTTCTCTTGATTTGTCATGTTATGACTGTAGGGTCAATTCTTAATAAAACCAAGATCAAACTCAGAGAAATTCATCTAGGTAAGTTGTGGTTAAACTTACTTGCCTCGGTACTCCTAATAAATACTGATAATAACATTATACTGCTCGGAACTAATATTGTACCTCGTGATACATCAGCCAGTTTTGGACAGATATCGTTTTTATCTCATTTTGCTGAGATGGGACATTCTCAGGAATATTAGATCGAGGAGCTAAATATAGAGATGTTTTTACTTTCGCGTTGGATTACATTGAGAATGACGAAGAACTATTACCGAACACAAGGATAGTTCCGTATTACAGGGCTATTAACACCAACCCTATCAACATCAGTAAGAGAGGTAATATTACCAGCTATTCAGTCAGGGGTGTTGAATAAGAAAATACGAATACTTCATGTGAACTCGATTTCAAATTTATTTCATGTAGGCGTAGGTACATCTAGCTCCCATAAAGTTTCTTAGTAGTATAAATGACACGTTTCAATGTTGCGTATAAACCAAAATTCGTAGTATTGACATATTAAGTGAAAACATCGCTCTGCTTGCAAAGAGGCTTGTTTTCAAAGAATTAACAAAACTCCCTGCAGTATTTGAACTACTACAAATAGGAGTATCGGCGATAGTGTGTCTAGCACCCTCTACCATCACCCAGCAGGTGGCTAACTTTGCTAACCAAAAGAAAGTGCCCGTCATTGCTGTCACTGCTACTGGTAATTTTTCTAGCGTATCCCAATATTTTTTGGAGCCTCTTTGAGGTGCTTATTGACTATAGTGTTTGGTTCAAAGTGTGGTTGCGTTGTGATCACTCCTGCTTCATTATTGAAAGATTGAAGAAGGCTTAAAATTTGCATAGGAATTAAGCTCATTAGTCATTTCTACCTGATTTCTCAATTGCCATATATCCAGATGGCAATAACTTCATAATTGTGTACTTCAATATCTACAACAGATCCGTTGCTGGCAAACAAGGAAGACCGACCCTATCTACTACGGATCTCCCCGAGTGATTCTCAGCAAAGTTCCGCCATATCTGATATCTTGTCCTACTTCAGGTGGCATCACTTCTCTATCCTCACTTCATACGATCCTTACGGTCAGTTACATCTTTATCTTGTGTTTCCCGGCTACTGATTATTGATATAGTCTGTTGGTTTATGATTAGGAATATGATTTCAGCGAGTATGTGCGGGTAAACTTGAAACTACCTTATCGGACCTTATTTGGACGGATATTAAATGAACGGACATAATTATGAACGGACATTAATATAAACGCTAGAAGGCACTCAAAACCATCAAAAATCCGATTTTTTTTGATTTTTTCAAACTTTTTTATTTCAGAAAATGATTTTTAAATCCATTTTATACATTAAGTAAGAAAAGCAGTCGTTAAGCAGTAAAAAATGTTAAAATATGTGTACATGATCAGTGTCTAATGTCGCATATCATCTTCATCAAATGGATTTTCGTGCATGAAATAGTTCAACGTTGAAAAATTAACTTTTAAAATTAACCAACGTTGGCCTATAAAACGTTAAAAAAATGTTCATTCGCAATCTAAAATTAAATACAACGTTAAAACGCTGTTCAATTTTAAACGTTGCTCATATCAATTGGTTCATCTTTTTGGGCGTTCGTGTAATGTTTTTTATCCCAGTTTCAACGTCTTTTCAGTTTCAACGAGTCAGCTAGAAACTTGATCTCTATTTCCAGACTTTCATAATGATCATTAGGCTCACAACAGCTGGAATAAAATAAGTTAACCTCCTTTCTGGCTCACTTGTGGGCTACTATATATATATTATATAACTGTCTAATTGAATAATTGGAAGAGAACTCCATCAGGCCTAGCTGAACCAAGCGGGGAGTTGATACACCTTTCACAAGCAAGAGCCACTTTGGTCTACTTGCTGTGAATTATCTCAGCTACGCCTACATGGGTTGGGGGTCCCCCCTTTTCTTTTTTTTGGCTTTGCTGTTTGGTCTGCACTGATCACCATTATTTAGGACTCGACATGATTTAGTGTTTTACAGTGTGGGAGCTTGGGAGTAACTCTTAGAGGGAATATCTTCGATCAGATTTGCAAGGGTTTTGCTTGACCGTCCTTTTTCCAGTTCCCGCTCTCATTAGCGATTCATCAAGAGCGCTTTTTCCATGGGATTTATTTTCGTTGACTTAAATATTGCGTAGTCTGAACTCTGATATCATTGTGGTAATTTAATTTCCCGAAGCTGCAAGATTTTGCAGTTTTTAATTCCTGGGTGCAGATAATTATATAGACTTAAAATAGAATTAAAGTCGATGTACCAAGCGCTTAAAGTTAAGGGCCGTTGCAATCTATAAAAGTATAAATAAATTGTATATTGGAGGCACTATTTAGTCTCGTCTAACTCTAATATTATAAATATAATGCGAATAAAATGGGGGTGACAGGCTCTGTTAATTTTGTGAGAAAAATCGCCATCAGGTCTAGATTCTTTTCTTTCTCAAGGGCTCAGGGTATCCGTATAGGTAATAAGATTTCAGTAATGTTTCTCCGTTTATTATTCGCATTTTTTTATTTTATAGTAATTGCCACGCGCACGACATATTTACTTGGGGACCCCAGGCTATTATATTCATAAACATAAAGATTCGGCGGATTAATGACAGGCTGAGCGCCGCCCAGTAACAACATATTTGCCACGGCTAGTTCTCTAGGAATCAGGAATCTCATGTTGCATGTCTACAGTATTGAATTATAATCAGTGCGCAGTTAATATATATTATATTTTATTACAAGCATCCAATTTAAATTATTAGTCACCCGTATCTTAAACTATAAGTATATCTATCGTTTGGAGAGCTGTGCACTGTGCATTCCCACATTCAATTTCACTGATAGTGATGCAGCTAGATTTCGAAATGTACCAGGAACTTGTAATTCATAGACTGTGTATTTTATCAATTACCATATTAGGAACCGACCGGATATCCGGCTGAATATTTTTTTTTGAAACGGAGAAAAGTGGTTTCCAGAAAACATTCTCGGTCCGAGTCATTCTCGATACGTACCTCCCATATCGAGAGCTCCCGCTTCCGAGATCGTTTTGGAAAAGGGAGGCCTGCCAGCTGCCTTCAAGTAGATGATTTTGGATTAAGCTGATTAGTTCAACATGATATAATAGTTAATATTTGACTGGCAGTGATGCACGCCGCCGCCGGACGCCGCCGCGCCGGCACATTTTCACACGCCGCCACGCCGATACCTCCGAAGTCGGCGTAGCGTGAAAATTTAAAAAAATTTCAAAGCAAATTTTTGTTGCTACTTTTCCCATTCTTAGTAAGATTTTTCGAATCATTCACTGCATACCAGCTACTAGTTCTGAAATAGAAAGAGTATGGAGCCAGTCGGGGTTGATTTTGAACTCTATCTAGGAGATCCAAATTGTCAAACGACATTGTTTAGAATTTGATTTTTCTTAAATATAATTGGGACAATGTGAAGTCATCCCTGAATGTAACTGAGTAAACTGAATAATGTTTCTTTTAACAAAAGGAAGACCTTTTTCTTGTATTAGCCGTTTAATATGAACATTCCTATTTATTGAAACATAACAGGAATTAGGAATTAACAAAATTAGGTCATATTACAATAACAGTGATTAGGTCAAATTACAATAACATTGATTCCAGGTATTGTAACACTTATAGTAGAGGCTCTTACGGGCAAAAAGACGTGTTTTCTGCTACGAGTTTAGAGACCTAACCGCTAATTGGACACAATAGTATGATGTCTAAGGATCGATAATATGTTAAGAAGTATAAATTTGGCCTTATTAGTCACGTGCTATACCAATGCGCGTTTTAAACTTTGACAGTCTATTACTCTAAGGCAAATAAAGTAATTATATCCATATTTTGTCAGCAATAAGATCACATTATTTTCTATTTAGTGTGAAAATATGAGCTAGAACGGACATAATCTCGCTGAGTTATAGCTGTTTGAAATTTATGATGAACGCGCGGGTGCCAATTGATAACAACTAAATGCTTTTGCGCGTAGTGCGCGTCGAAAATTTGGCAAAAACGCTTGCGGAGTGACAATATTCAAACTTCGATTAAGTATATGAAGTGGGTACTTCTCGGAAAGGAAAAATTTAGGCAAACACGATGTGACTATTTTTGGGTTGATTTAATACAACTGCAAAAAATTATTCAAACTTAAAGCAAAAAAGTCAAAATTTTTACCACTTTTTTGGATTTTTACCTCAGAACAAATAGAGGGATTTGTTTTATTTTTATACAATCTTGTGCGGCTGTCTTTTAGCTATCTTTATGCAAGTTTTGCCGACATGCCAACAAAATTAACTTGCTCAAAATATCAAAAAACATGGTTTTTTGGCCTATTTTTGGCCCAAAAATCGGTTTTTTGCGATTTTACCCCAGAACAATCAGTCCAATCATCTTGAAACCACTTTCAATCGATTCTACGGTCAAAAATACGTCTAGTAAGGTGTATCTGGGGTCCCTAACGTATCGAGCAGACAATGCCCGTAAGAGCCTCTACTATTAAAGTCATTATACTCATGAAAGTCCAAACTAGAGTTTTCTGATGGTAGCATTGATAATTGTAGTTCAGCGGGTGGATGTCGTATTTTATGGGGCTACTCGCTGCTATGAGGCCACTTCGTTACGTTCATCATCACAATCACATTCAGCCACGCGACGTTTTCGCCATAAATGCTGTAAAAACCATACTTATATTACACTATTATTTCATGCGCAATTTTTGTGGGCCTGGAAATTAAATTTTGACAAAATTATGTTCCACGCCGCCGAACGCCGCCACGCCGGGCCATTTTGGGCACGCCGCCGCCGGTTGGCGAAAAATGAACCGGCGTGCATTACTGTTGACTGGTTGATAAGTTATTTGTTACATAATTCATCCACTTACAGGTATACACGGCATAGCGGGGATACAGGAAGCAGCCACAGAGAGAAACTGGAAGATAAACAACATCCAACACTTTCTTGTTCCTGCAGATGTTTCTAAACTAAATGTGTCGTAAGTTGGCAACTTTATTGATTTGGGAGTTAAAGTTTGTAGCTGAATAATGAATTGGGGACTAAATACCCGTTAAATGGGAGACTGTTAAGTGTTAAATATGTTAGCTGAGTTAGTACTCACTGCTTCTCAGTAACCAAAATAATCTTTTCATCCACACAACACTTATCATTGTCTCACAGTAATTTATAAGATCTATCACCCAGAAAGGAGCTGGAGCGGGTGTATAAGAGTGAGTCCCGTATCATGGTACTGAACTGCGGAGCAAGTGCAGCTGGACAAGTGCTCAGACAGGCTGAGAAGTTTGGTTTGACCAGGGACGGGTATGCTTGGATTGTGTCAGACGGGGTTACCGGCAACTTTGTGAGTATGGGGCTAGGAGGTTTAGAACTTTTAATTTTAGTGTGCATGTTTTAGATGGCATGATACTTTTAGTATTTAAGTTAGGTGGAGAGATAATTTTTTGCATGAAGATGAGAAATTAAATGTGACTGACTTTGCGACTTGCATGAAACTGATTGATGGAAATGTGACTGTTACCTGTTATACCTTACTTTTAGGCATATTTAAGTAATCGGATAATGAAGCTACATTCACTTCGTCGCAACCAAGGAGTATGGCTAACAGCATTTTAACCATTGTAACAGCATTCTTACCATTTTGCAGCATTCTTACCACTCTAACAGCATTCTTACCATTTTGCAGCACGTTTTGTAAAAATTATTGGTTTTCTGTCACAACCCGAACGGCCAAGCAAATTTTGTTAGCTATTTTTCGCTGAACGTATACAAGCACAATCAATTCAGAAATTAAATATTAATTTTAAAATTTTTAGTTTGATGAATTTATCTTATAAAAGTATGAACAGATTACTTCTTGTTCGCTCATCTACAAAATTATTCCGTTTAATATTAGGATCATTTCTACTTTTCTAGCATCGCCTATTTTCAGAACGATCTATCACCGGGCAGGAACAATGTGTTTGAGGGGTATTTAGATGGCCTGATTGGCACAATGCCAGCTACAAAAGATGGGGCTCTTTATCGCTCTTTGACTGACGGGCTAAGCGACAGATATGATCTCAAGAGACGAGATATTACCGTATGACACATTAACTTAAACTTCTTTAACTGAACTTCTTAGACTAAAACTTCTTAGATTCAATAATTTTTGTGACTTATTTGGTAGTTTGGTAATATATTATATATTATTAGATTCAAACTGTAGTTTTCTAGTTAAACATTAAATAGTTTCGTTTTTCAGTTAACATATGTATTTATTTTTGATTGCCCTATTTAAGTATTAGCTATTTAATTGACTTAATTCAATTTATGATAGTTACCATCGCTCTAGAGTAACCTAACTAATTTTTCAGCCGTTTGCAAGGCTTGCATTTGACTCTGTTCTGGTATTTGCACACGCTCTACACGGATATTTTCGGTAAGCACTACATCTGATTACTGTAACCATACAAAAACTTGGGATTGTGCCAGCAATGATCGTACATGTTTTCACTAAATAGTTAGCCGACAATTAGAGATATATCTTTATAAAACTCCTCAATTGCCCCAATCGTGTCTCCAGAGAGAACATAGCATTAGCTGAACAAAATATAAATGTTTGGGAGGAACCAGGAGTTGAATTTAGAGATGGCCCGTTGTTCTACGAGCACCTAAAACAGGTACATATAACAAGGACCAGGGCTGAAGTCTGTTTCTACTTTCTTGATTCCTGAATTTTTCGGGTTCACAAAATGCCGGTTAGCAATTATGCGCTCTACCTAGTCTGTATTTGTACGCTTTAATTGAAAGACCTCTTTAACTTAGCGGGAAAGAGGGAATTGTGAGAAGCCCACCTGTTGTAATGTTTTGTAACCTATATGTTAAGGTTGAAGTTGATGGCGCAAGTAAAATGTTGTCGTTTGACGAGGACGGTCAGATAAAAAACGCCAAGTACGACATTGTAAACTTTGACGCAGTGAACGGCTACTTCAAGGAAGTAAGCCATCTTGATAAACAGTTACTTTTATTACCTTTATTACTTGTTAGGTGCAGTTAATTTAAGTACATCATACAACTTGTGCCATCCTAAAACTCCTCAGGTAGGATACTGGTCACCACAGACCGGAGTAGTCCTGAATACGGATATGGAGGTGTTCTTCAGTGGTGGAACTAAGCAAACCCCGTCCTATCAGATAGCTACACTGGAGGGCAGGCACCTTGTACTGGGCATAGACGTGGTATGTTGGCTGCTTTCTTGATTAGTTTCATTGTATTCGCATCATCCTTAAGCTAATTATAGATCTGATAAATTCTGGTGGGGAGGTGAACTATTTTTCACGTGATAGCGATCAACCAATCATGATCGCTGTTGCGTTTTATGACGATCATTGTCCCCACCGGATTTGCTATATAACTTCTATTTAAGTCGAAGCTAGATTTATATCAGATTAGATTTATATATTTCTGGACTTGTAGTGCAGTTGAAGCTCAATTTAGCGACCCTTCTTGGGGACAAAATTCCACAGTAAATTGAGAGCCCATAAACTTTAATTTTATCTTACCTCAGGACCCTCCGTTTGTAATGCACGATGAAAGTTGTGGTGGGGAGATCGCCTGCTATTCTGGGTATTGTGTGTCTCTGGTTCTAGAACTTTCGGAGATGCTCGATTTTACTTACGAATTCGTTCATGTGAGAATTAATTAGATTGTTATTGTCTTTTTTGATCTTTCTCATGTGTCATTTCTATTAAATGTTGCGGGTGGCCCTCTCGAGTCTACGACTGATAGTAATTCTGTAATCTGTATATCCTCTTTCACGCCTCTTCCCCCATATTTACAGCCGTCTGATGGAACATGGGGTGGACTGGAAAAAGACGGAAAAACCTGGACAGGGATATTCAAGGATCTGTTGGACAGGAAGATAGACATAGCAACTGTCCACATGTCAATTAACAGCATCAGAGAGGAATTTATAGACTTCTCCGTTCCCTTCATGCAGGTATTTACTATGCTGCACACATGGGCAGGGTGGCGGGTGGTCAAGAAGTAATAAAATATTGAGTGAGGGATGGCCTCATTTCGGCGACAGACGAAAGGGACTTCTGAGATCTAATATCAAATGTCTATAAATTATCTTTATTCTGATAATTTTCCGTTTATCAAAGCTTTCTTTGGTAACATAACTTTCAGCACCTCAATTGTGTCTTATGCTATCCACAGTGAACTCATTAATTGGTCATTCAAGAAAAAGTCAGCCAAAACAGTAAAATTTGGGTCACGGAAACCTGAAATTTGAAAATTTCGCACCGAGTTTTAATCGACCACGTTCACCATTTATTGCAATTCAGGCCCATTACTATTATTATTAAGTTAAACTGATACTTACTGATACCATGACCAGGCAGGCCTGACGGTGGTAGTGAAGGGTGAAGAAGAGACGAGTGACGGTTATTTCTTTCTCTCCCCCTTTAGTGCGGATGTCCTGTAAGTATTGATTAAAGTTCTACTTACAGACTGTACTAAAATCTCCAAAATGCCTCACCTGACCAAATATACAACATTCCTGTATTTCAGACTTGATCATTATCACTGCACCTCAGAACTCCCATATCTCTATCAATCCCAAGACATTTTATATAAAACAAATTAAAATGTTGTGTTTACACTCCACCCTCAGATATGCTATTGGAGCGGCAGTTTTTGGAGTTATTATAATTGTGTGGGTTTACAACCGGGTTAGTAATTCTAAATTTGTCGAAAATTTCCAGTTCCACCATCGAAAAATATGCGAATTTTGTTCTGATTCATGTCGAGAAGAAATACTGGTTTGATACGACGATACACCCACAATTTAGCACTGTTATAATATGTAGTTCGATCAGTCTATCTTAATGCCTAACTATAGTTAGTTTTATACACTAACCGGTTATACAGTTAGTAACTTAAAACCTCCCAGATATCCCCAAACGGGTTGTACTGGAGTAAGCAGTTTGCGCTAATGTCCTGCAAGTGCAGCATGTGCAGGAGGAGACGGAGGGAGGGGAGACAGTTTCAGAGACACAAAACCTGCGCTATCAAACAGTTGGAGGCTCAGGAAGAGGTGTTTGGTGAGTTTTGGTGATGTTATTTACTTATTTAAGGTTGGAGAGCGCTGTTTGGTGAGATTGTGTGGTGTGTATTTTTGGAACTTTTTTCCACCTGGAAGGTTCTTTAAAATTCAGAATATTCAGTGTATCAATTTAGGGAGAGTAAGGATGCCGTGCAGTTTGGTGAATAGTCGTATTGTTTGCCGTAGACATAAGGGTCAGGTCGATTGAGTGTGCAAGAAAACTTTTTATTCGCATAATACTATATTATATCATATTCAATCTTTCGAATATTTGAACGATTATCATGGTACATGGTCCCAAAATATTTCCAAAGTTCAAGCTCGTAAACAGCAAACTTCACCAGAATATGACTCCCTACCCTCCAATTCAGCCCAGTTGAACATGACAAACTCTTCCTGGATAGTGTTCGCATCTCTTCTCAACCAGGACCCCGTTATCAGCTGGCCTACCAGTATCTCCGGAAGAATTGTCCTCCTCTTTTGGTGGCTTGTCGTTATGGTGGTTCTGGCCATGTACACTGCTAACCTCGCTGCCTTCCTCACTAGTCAGTACTTATATTTGTTGCAGTGGAGAGTTGTGCAATTAGTATTATCGATTAATATGAGTTTTATGTATCTTACTGGACTTACTGATTCCTATTGATTATTTACCTGATATAAGGTACAATTTCAATGATGCAGCAATCTCTATCATTCCACACAGTAACGAAGATGACAACTGGGATATCAAAGATAGAAGATCTGCTGAATCAGGACCGCTACAAGTGGGGGACTGTGAAGGATACCCACCCAGAGGTAGCCTTATCTAACAGTGTCAGGGAGGACTTCAAAACTATCATCCGCAAACAGGTGATAATTTGTGACATCTTAAATACTATTTTGTTGCTCTTTATTTAATGATAAGACTTAGTGAATACCACACTTTTTTGCTCGCGTTTTGGTTATACACTTGATTATGTAGTTGTTTGTTTTAGGACGCCGTTTTAACAACTGACGAAGGATTTGCTCGGGTTTTGGAACAAGAGTACGCGTTCATATATGAAAGTCCAATTTTTGAGTACATGAAGAGGAAGTTCTGTACTTTGGAGAAAGTTGGTGTCGGAGAGTTCTTGAGCTTTGAGTTAGTGAAATTTTGAGGATTTTGTAACTGTAGGAGACTTTAATTGTACGTTGATATATTTATACAGCTTTCTCATTCTGTCAAATGATAAAATAACTTGGTATTTGATAACTAAACCAAGTTGCATTAAATTTCAGCTACGCATTTGGCTTTCCACCTGACTCACCCTACATAGACGTAATAAATCAAGCTCTACTGAAGCTGCAAGAAAACAGCAAGCTAGATACACTGTGGACAGCTTTACTGGCTAACACGGGCCAATGTCCCCCTCGACCACCCACCGCTCAGCTGACCCTGCAGTCCCTGAACGGTGTGTTCACTACACTTGCAGTGGGACTTGTAGCCAGTGTGTTCGCTCTCATTGGGGAGTATTTGTATGTCACGTGGTGTGATGTACAGGGTAGAACTGTGGGCTGTCCTCCCAAGCAAGTGAGTCTTGTGTGTTATCTTATAGATTGTATTATTGGGATTATTGTATGGTTGTTCAAATCAATGATATGTAACTGCGCCAGTGGATCATTTTATTTTTGTACTCTATTTTCGAGGTTGGACAAAAATTGAAAAACCTTCCTTAGAAAACTAACAAACTGTCCTATTTTCAGCGGCCCAAGTCCATGTTAGAAGCGCTGAAGAGGAGATTACGATTTCTTGGCCACGACCTGAAACATTCGTTCTCACCTCAATCAAACATAAACAAATCAAGTAACGACACAAACGATGTTTTCAAAGACAGTGAAAGTGTTGAATTAAGACAAAAACTTAGAAATAAGACTGATCATCACGTGGCTAACGACACGTCTGATTCGCTAACAAACAATGAGTTATCAGCCAACGAAATCCAGGGTATCGACCATGAAGAGGACTCATTAGAGTCGGAATCAGAGATTGATGATTACAGTCAAACTGGAGAGGAATGCACTGAATGTGGCCACTAGAGCTCATCATATTGACTCAGCTCTGTATAAATCAGAGAAGATATTAGATAGGATTTCTCGACCAGTGCATTGATTTATTTGCTGCATATTTGACAACTGGCTTTGTGCTCTATTTTCATGATGTCTGATGGTGGTCTCAATATTATTCAGATTTTAAGTAATTACGGTACTTCCATTATATTGGCGAGACAAAATCAAAGAAAGTTAAACTAAAATCTATGTACATTCAAAATAAACAATAAACATGCGCCATAAACTGTTACAAATCTTTACAGCTGCACAAAATGTATACCATCACAGTTACTGACAAAATTTTTGGGCTATAAGATCGTGTTCAAATTTTCAAAGATAAATCATGAATCTTGAGAATATACACATCTACATTCAATATATGATTATAAAGTTCTGTTATCTGTTCTCTTGACACCCTGTTTGGTTAATCTGCAAATCTGCATTTCATCTGTAATCTGATCTTTTTGCAAAGTTTTCTTTTATGATTATTAGATTGATTTAACTCTATTTATTATGAACAATGTTTTCTCTATCTTGTCTGTTGTGGTAGTAATAGATTATCTCTATTCAGCAAACTCCTGAAATAATATACATATTACAAGTTTGCTCTACCTTGTGCAATAACTTTAAAATACAATTAGTTGTATAGACAGTAGACAAGGTATAGTTATAATGGAAAAGCATATGCTGCGCGTGAGTCTAGCACGCATGGTATTGGCGCGCAATTAAAGTGATAACGGTATCAAACTTTATATGATGAAAACGACCCACGCGTGCTCTCTACGAATAGATGGGACAAAGATGGACAAGACATGGCGATGTACCAAGCAAGCATGCATATGATTTTGATTTAAGGCAATATTTTCATTTGTAACTATAGTATCGGCCGATAAAATAATGATGCACAGAAATAAATGTTCATGTTCATGTGCACTTAATTCTTCTTCTCATTCCGCCAACCCAGGAATCATTTCGGCCTCATGCAATGATGCAATTCAGGCCTTCTGTGAAATGTCAGAGAGTAGCCGTTTCCTACAGTTCGGACCTCAGATTCTGACTTCAGATTTTTTGCTCAGACATATTTATAGTCATACACATGTATATACATATATATGTATAGAAAAATCTAAATATAATATATATATTTTGTGCAGCCTATTTTGTTATTTCTTTATTAGACTGACCTGGCTTGGTAGGGGTTCATTGATCTCATCATGTGTTTTGGATCAGGATCACTTCCGTATAGATGCAGTGCTGTCGACTTGGTGAACCCATTGTTAGTCGCCAAGACTGGTCCTCTAATGTAACCTTCTCTCCTGGCTCCAGTTGGGTTCAAATCTTGATGCCTGGAAATTTTAATCTTAGATGACCGCCTTAAATTCAGCAAATATATCCAAAGTCCTGAATGAGAGAGCCCAGAGAGCTAAAAACAATCATATAATGTATTTTTCCTAAAATTAGAGCTCACTTGTATCTGTAATAAGTAGTATAGTGATCGGGTGAGTCAGCTTTGGGTGGCAGCCACAAGTCGTTATTGGCCACAGCTCCAGTCGGTTCTTTTTTACCAGTTAAAGACCTCCCAAGCTTGGCACCTTCACCAACCTCAAACGGTGGCAGTTTCGTTGCCGGTTTGAAGTGGATCTGTGTTATGCTGCAATGTTGAAGTTTTAGTATTCGTTTGAATTAAATAGTTTATGTCAAGTTCACGTAAAGTTGCTATGATTGACAGGAATCTGTTCCGAGTGATAAACTGAGGACAATTGTATAAGGTTTGTTGGCATCAGATTGTTATCTGCAAGCTCATTCGAGCATAAAACAATGCTGACCACTATAATTACATGGTCAAAGTCGGCCGTGCGTATCAGTGATATCATTTATAATGATCGTTCATTACGTATTTATTTTTATGATCACGAAAGAACGCTATTTCGGGCCTCATCGAGTAATTATTACATGTTTTCTTCTCGCTCTTTTCAAGTTCAAAGATGATTAACTTATAGTGGTTGAACGTCGTCATTCTCGGCTAATATTACATGCGATTTTTTCGCTTCAATAGTTTTACAAAAGAAGTTGACTGCAACCAATCAGCTTATAGCAGCTGCAATCAAATGTAACAGGAATTGTAGCGTGTAAAAACAATGCTGCCTTCTTCGAGAAGCAAAAGCTACTCAACGGTTTCATTCGACCACACTATACTCTATAGCTCATTTTAGTGAGAACAATTTTGCTCTACGTAGAGATTTACTATAACAAAACAGAGATCACGGCTTTGTTTGTATAACGCAGTCAGACCTATATATACAGTCAGTCAATATATTTAGGACTCTTTATGATTGTCCGAAATTTGGAACCTTCTATGAGAAAATTCTAACAGCATAACAGAATATCTTTATAAATTATTTTTAAACTGTTAAGTACAGCTCGTTTATATCAAGGAAATATTTTAAAATTTCTAAAAATATCACGAAAAGTATTGAATGGAGTCTGACCTTGATTTATTATGCGGGTTGGTCAAGTTCGCATACTCGGCAGGATCAGATTTAGAAACTTTGTTCAGAAGTACCGATGGAACGTCGTCAGTCTTCGTGTAATACTGTGAATACTGGGGTGTCAGCTTTAGAATATTGTACATTAAATTTATAAAATAACCTTGAAGAATTGCTTTATTCTGTGAAGACAGAATGGACCATTTTCTCTTTCTGTAACAATTTGGTTATGTAGGATATGTCTTAAATTAGGTCCATATATATGGCCATATGGCTGCAAAAGCAAAACTTTTTAATCTTTTTTCGATCAAAGGAATCGAGCTTTAACATTATGCTTATCATTTCATCAAAATAATCGCTCAGTGCTTCAGCCGAAGTTAACGATAGTTAATGATTTTTCCATTCAGTGTGCATTGAGCAAATAATAAGGTTATTGTTACATGTTTGACAAAGCAAAGTAAAACATGTTAATTAACTTTTCAAAGACATCGGTTTTTCCACAATTTAACCCTCAGTAGCCAACATAAAATAACATTTTTCTCAAGTAGTGCAATTACTTAGTCGATTTAACTTGTTATCATACTTGATTAAACTATGATGTTTGTTTAAAAGTATCAACTGTTGATCTCAGCTGGCATGCATGTTGCATAAGAATCTACAAAGCAGAAAATCGTTTGTGGATGAGAATTCTCGTTCTTGCACACTAAACTCTGTGCAGAACAGACAAAGTGTTGAAGAAAATTCTGGAATATTATTCAATATTTGTTATAAATTGGAAGAATCTTGTGCTAGTGCAGTGCAGGTGGAGCTAGCTAGTATCATATAATAGAGGTTTACATCACAATCGATGATGACATTTGCAGTTGAAAAGGCACATGCTATACAACTTTATGCGTTAACTACGATTCCTGAAATTATACTAGTATTGTACTACTATAATACATAGTATAATAGTTATTCCTCATGCAGGAATGTCTGCAACTCTAAAATTACCGTTTATGTTAACTTTTTGGCAAAATCTATACCATTTCTCAATTTGCCAAGTTTATGGTTATTGGTTATTTAAGTCAAGTCTCAGTGGTAACGTAACAGATTCTGGGTAAATATTAAAGCATGCGATTTAATGTCTTCTAATTAAAAAATAATTCTGCTCCGGCCCGGCGAAATATTTCCGGTTCGGATGTTTCCTACTTTCGGGGGGGGGGGGGCCAATGGCATAAAATGGCATAAAATGGCATAAAATGGCATAAAATGGAGACATTTTCTATGGAGAAAATGGAAAAACCCATGAGTAATTCTCCATTTTCTCCATTTTATGCCATGAATTTTGTCTTCGAAATTTCATCTTTAACACCATTTAACACCTAAATTGGACATCCTAACATGTTTATTTACGCTTACTAGGGGCGTAACAAGCTTATGAAAGCTCATAGTAGGCTACTAGATGCTTATACTAGGTTAGTAGAGGCACACTTCAGGCAAACTCATAATTACTCAAGCCTAGTGTAAAGTTATTTCTACAGGCTACAGCAGGAGTGAGTAATAGGGGAGAGTAATAGGCACTGAGAAGTGAGACCTACATCCTCGACAGTCGAAACAAGCTCGCACTGCAAAGGGGAGACCTGCCTTCCGAGATCGCATTACCAGGGGGAAGCCTCGAGTCCAAATTTGTGTATCGAGGGTTAGGTGCAGACTTCGATAAACCGAAAAACCAAAAAAATATTTTCGGCTAATAATGAAGAGGGTAGCATGAAACGTGGAGAAAAGTGGTTTTTAGAAAAACTTTGAAAAATTTTGACTTAGAAAATTTTCGGCCCGAGTCATTCTCGATACGTACCTCTCTTATCGAGAGCTCCCGATTCCGAGCTCGTGTTGCAAAGGGGAGGCCTGCCTTCCGAGATCACATTACCAGGGGGAAGCCTCGGGTCCAAAATTGTGTACCGAGGGGTAATTTTCTAAGTCAAAATTTTTCAAAGTTTTTCTGAAAAACACTTTTCTCCACGTTTCATGCTAAACAACAATCAAATTTTTTCTGAAAACCGCTTTTCTCCAGGTTTCATGCTACTCTGTTCATTATTTGCCGAAAATATTTTTTCGGTTTTTCGAAGTCCACACCTTCCCCTCGATACACAATTTTGGACTCGAAGTAATGCGATCTCGGAAGGCAGGCCTCCCCTTTGCAACACGAGCTCGGAATCGGGAGCTCTCGCGATACGGGAGGTACGTATCGAAAATGACTCGGACCGAACATTTTCTAAGTCAACATTTTTCAAAGTTTTTTCTGAAAACCACTTTTCTCCATGTAATGTTTCATGATACTCTGTTCATTATTGGCCGAAAATATCTTTTTTTAAAATAATTTTTCTCGAAATTCTAAATTTTTCAGGTTTTCAATGGCATAAAATGGCATAAAATGGCATAAAATGGAGACTATTTCTATGGAGAAAATGGAAAAACCTATGAGTAATTCTCCATTTTCTCCATTTATGCCATTGGCCCCCCCCCCTACTTTCCTTGTATGTATGTCAGTCTACAAAAAGTCATGGATGTAGATTATGGAATGGGTTTTGGGGCATTATGTTATCAATCACGTTTAGATTTGTTATCCATATCCATGGCAACCTGATGAATATCATACAATATTCAGCCGCGTTAATTCTCTAATAATTCTCTAATCTCATAGGCAAGGATTACAATCCTATGATACATAGGATGTAATTTGTTGGTGCACCGACATGGTGAGGAATCGTCTTCGTCAATTTCCATTTTAACCTTAGAAATTAAAATTCACCGAATACCATAAAAGCGTGAAGCATAGATGTAGAGCTAAAAGTCACAAAACTGTGATTGGTGTAAGAATTCTAAATTTGTGACATGTACTCGACATGAACTCTGATGTTAAAAAAGAGTAAATTTTGTTATCAAATTACAAACACTGAAGTCTCTAAGTGACATCACTTTCAGACATTGTAAATTACTAAACCCGTAATTGTTTTTTAATGACTTGATGACTTATGATAACGTAACAATGTTCTAGTAACCATGCCATTATCTTATGAAGTAAGCAGGTAATATATGGTTTACTTCCCGTAACTCTAGCAACACAACATTTCAATATTCAGTACTTATCTTACATGGAACCTACATTGAAATTCTTAAATTTAGTCAGGCTGTTCACAATATTTAATGATCACCCAATCCTGAGAACAGCTCTAAATTAGCACGGTGGTGATAAAACAATTTAGATTTAATTCGCCTGACGCCTACTTACTTCCTCTTTAGCCTTGGCATAGAACGCAGGCCGAGTATAGGTTCCCTTGACAAATCCAGATACACACTGTCCTTTGCTGGAAACTGAATTTGCTTTCTCTGTTCCCTGAAAGATATTGGAAATTAATGGATGAGAATATGGAAGATGACTAAGTTCAAGCAACATTTATATCGTATTTTAAGTTCATGAAATCCTGACTAGACTAGTAAGTAGCAATCAATTGACGCTAGTCTGACAATTAATTGATGACTTGTAGTGGATGCTGGATGTCAGCTTGCATCGTAAAGCATACCATTTGTCAAATCAAATATTCAATACAATGCTACAAGTCAGAAGTAAAGTTCATCAAATTAGGAGGCAAAACCAACATGCATCATTTCAATCAGTGCAGTGCAAATCAATCCCCTGTGGACTGTGTATAGTGCTCTAGATCTCTAACCACTTGTATATATACAGAGAGATAGTTCGGTTGAGAGCTTCTAATTTCACTAATGGCACTAATTATCTCTCGATTAAATTGAGATTTTATGATCTTATAATTACCGTTAGGACAGGGGTGTCTGGTGAAAGAACCTCTCATAATACTCTCGCCGATTGGTCTTGCCTGAAGAAATAATTTACTAGAAAGTTTAGGGTGATATCACGACTTGGTGATTTACAAACAATATGAAAGTTTAAGATAACTAATCGTATTTAAATCTTAGGTTTCATTATCTAAAGGGTACTGCACCTTGGTGTTTGGGTTGCTGAAATTTTCATCGGGACGGTAGGTGATAGGTTCAATGTTGTATGCATTGATGAAACCTGATGCTTGTTTTCTCCCGACTGTTCTACCTTCCAAATCCACTGAAGAGAAGATATGATCAGGTTATTTCATGAATAAGATGTACTACATATTTTATACCTTCAAAAATGCAGCCAAAATGTGAGGAATAAATGGGGTCCCCCGCCCCCACCCGGATATTAGAGTTTGGACTCTAGAATATAAGTGTGAAAATAACGTACTTTTCATACTAGGATTTCCAGAGAATTTTGATGCTGTTTCTGGCTTCATGTACCTTGGGCCCTGAAATATTTCAATGTGATGGTGAATCAAGTTTTTTTAATACAGTGAAACACGAAGACCACACCGTATATCTGGGAGACTATAGCACATCTCTGGAAGTAAAATGAAGTTGTTAAACACCCTACCACGCCATTATTCTCCTGTTCAACTGGGTCTTTTCGTTGTAAATCAAACAGCAAGGATCGGTGCTGTGTCTTGAAGTTCCGTCTTGTGTCAGCGTGAACGTCAGTAACCTGATTGGTGACAATATTGCTAGTTCTGGCATGGGATGTCACAAAGAATACAAAATTCGGATTTGTGAAATAAAAATTTAGCAGGAACTGTTTTTGTACCTCTCTCTGAAGCGGTAGAGTATTAACAGTTCCAGTAATGAATCCGCTTCCAGCCTTATAAATGGACGGTGGTAATGGTTCCGTTCCGCTTGCTCCCCTACTTTCTTTAAAGTGATCTTTGGTTGACGTATTGTAGTTATCTCGGATCGAAGATCTGAATGACAGTTTTTGATATTGACTGATCAAATTTGAATGAATCACCTCTCAAGATAGACTGTACAAATATGCAAGGAATTTTAGAGCTACAATCGGTCAAGCGTGCTGGCTAGAACTTACAAAATCTCAGGGTTGTCCATTTTATCTATAGATTCGTTGTAGTACACAGCAGGTCTAAAATTTGCAAGATATCCTGTTCCCGAATGAGTATTAGGGCGAGGTTTAAATTCAGGAATGGCATGAACGTTTGAGTACGTTGTAGCATAGTGAGACAGGTGATGAGTTTCCGGTCCTCCACTAGCTTTTATGTGCTTCGTCCCTTGCCCAAGGGATACCTTACCCATCTCTAAAGTCAGGCAGCAGTTTATATCATTTTAATATAACATGAAATAGGCCTAAGATGTTCATAACAATGCCGTAATTTATCACAATTCATAGTCTGACAATGCAATTCCAACATGAAACTAGCATTAAGCATGACACAATCCCAATCAATTCTTTATCATAGAACGAAGAACTGGTTAATGTAGCCAAAGAAATCAAATCAACTATACTGATAGTATCTGTTATCAAGCTTGTCTACGGAGAGCAACTTCGTCTCATCTTTGGTGGCGAGACCAGAGACGCATGTTAAAATTTAGCTTGGGCACAAGATGTAGCTATAGTGTTTCCTCCGCAAACCATAGCCTGAAGGTAAACATGTACAGTGCAATCGCTCGAAGCGAATTCTCAATCTGCGCGGCTTTCTTATCAAGTTCGCAAGTTGTCGAGTCAGGTTTCTAATTTTATGTTTGTAAATATAGTATAGATATAATATAAAATTATCATTATAAATGTAACATAGTGTATTGATATACGTCTACTCATATTTGTATTTGGATATTTTCTTGCAAATAAAATGAAAGTATAATATTGAATATAAAATTTATAAAAGTAAATTCAATTTTAAATTGAATTTTTATGCATCACATCATAATTATGCTTTTAAATCATATTGTTATTTTTATTTTCCATTATTCAATCCCCGATCATACCATAATAAATCGATCGTAATATAAAGTGGTTAGTATAACATAGTAAACATTTTATTTTGACGCGCGTCGCCAGCCGGTCTAGTCCAGCATAAATTTAATCTTAGAATCGAGCGCTCATTTTGGTGACATTCTTATCGCCCTCCTGCGTGTCGTCGGTTTTCTATTTGATCGCTGACTTCTGATGCGGCCATTATACTGGCTTTTCCTTGTTGCTATTGTATCTCACAATGTTGACATTTAAAAAAGAATTCGATTTGGAGGAGGTATACGAATTGGTAAAGAAGGAATGCGAAAGTGCAGCTCTCAGCCGGTCGGACTGTGGACTGAAATGCATAGGATACCAGACAGATATACTGCTTTTCGCCTGCAATACTATTGTCGATGAGAAGATGGTTACGAAGATTGGGTATTATTGCTTTCAGGAAAAGATGGTTATGGACCTTTACGTTCACCAGGAGGTTATGGAAGTTCTTGTTGGATCTGTAAACCCTGAAAAGAATCTTCTTGGTAAGAATAAAGTTCATTTTGGGTAGTGACTAGCGTCCCAATTTTCCTGATCGAATTGCTACTAAATTGTGTTCAACACACTCTTCATAAAGCTTGGATCGCATCTTACAAGTTAAGTTAAGTAGGCTATACAAACAGAATCAAAACTGCTCTTTGCAGATTACCGTTATATAGATTTAGAAATTGACATCGTTTTCAGTTTACGCAAGAAAAAAGAATTTAAAGAGTTCAAACTATCAATCCTGTCTTGTCGAACTTATTAACATGAAGACTTTCGATTTAAACATCGATAGTCCACAGACACAACATCTACTGGTATGTAAAATATATAGATTCCGTGAATTCTTAGATTGTAGTTTGTACTGAACTCCGAAGTATCATTCTAAGAATTGTCCAGACGTTACAACCAATACATAACTCTCTATTGATCACAACATTGTTTCAGTTCTTCAAAACTGCACAGGTTAGAGTTAATTGCACGAAATTTAGTCGTGTTTGCAAAAATTTCTGACTTAAAGCCTGTTTGAGATTAGAGAAGTGCTGCCCTCTTCCAGCCTGACCACAGTGTATATAAGGTCACGTGATTTGTAATGAAGGTCACGTGTTATGTAATGAAACTTGCTCTACAATGAAACTTTTCCCGAATTCCCACTGCCACGAGCTATTTTACGAGAATATTGCACCAACTTAACTGCATGTGGATTGTGAAGATACTGTACAGTGTGTAATGAATATACTGTACAGTGTGTAATGAATATACTGTACAGTGTGTAATGAATATACTGTACAGTGTACAGTGTGTAATGAATATACTTTACAGTGTACAGTGTACGGTGTGTAATAAATATACTGTACAGTGTACAGTGTGTAATGAATATTGAATATACTGTACAGTGTACGGTGTGTACTGTGTTACGAATTTACTGTACAGTGTACAGTGTGTAATGAATATACTGTACAGTGTACGGTGTGTAATGAATATACTGTACAGTGTACGGTGTGTAATGAATATACTGTGTACAGTGTACGGTGTGTAATGAATGTACTGTACAGTGTACGGCTGTGTTATGAATGCAGTTATGTACATGCTATTTAACTATTTAATTACCGAAATATTGTTTCAGTTCTTTCCCTGGAGAAATGCGAAAGAAAAGGGTACTCGAAAAGAGCATTTGGTCTTTTTTATTGAAAAACGGCGTAAGTAAATGGGAACTGGAATCAGTTTTTCTGTTGAAGTATTGACATCCTTCCGACCAACATATTATAATACATAAAATGACACTGCCGTGTGTAAACTGTAAAATTTCGGGTTGTTAGGGAATACAAATATTTTACGACTGATTAGGTGAAACCTCAGGACTCGGCATCATTCATATAACAACGACCGTCAATCAGTTCGACGTAAGTTTTTGAACGATATCATCTTTTCATGCTTTAATTCTTATACTAAAGATATCTGTGGCTTATGTTGAAAATGCCTCATTTCAACAACAACCTTCAGTGGTATGTATATCAAATTTCAAAGATATCACGAGGCACAAACTCACAAACTGATATTAATGGTAAAGTCTGGTCTGATTATGCTGAAATCAAGTTTACTTATATCGCACTGTCTACTGTTTAAGAAATTGGGCAATTCAGTAGTGTGGCATAACACGGTTAACGCACGGTTAAGGCACGGTTAAGGCACAGTTAAGGCACGGTTAAGGCACGGTTAAGGCACGGTTAAGGCACAAGGGTTACATAAGGCACGGTTCTTAAGGCACGGTTAACGCACGGTTAACGCACGGTTAAGGCACGGTTAAGGCACAAACTGCCCAAAAGCAACCATTATGGTCGCTTAAGGCACGGTTAACGCACGGTTAACGCACGGTTGGGGAAATATAACATATAAACATACAAATGGTTAACTAAGGCACGGTTAAGGCACGGCTAGGGAACAAGGGTTACATAAGGCACGGTTGAGACACGGTCACTTAAGGCACGGTTAACGCACAAACTGCCCAAAAGCAACCATTATGGTCGCTTAAGGCACGGTTAACGCACGGTTGGGGAAATATAACCTATAAACATACAAGTGGTTAACTAAGGCACATGATCTGAATGTGACGATCTGTAAATTTTACAGTGCGATTCCCGCTATGAATAAACTTTCTAATTGTAAAGCAACAGCCCTGCTTCGTTTGACCGTCCTATATTTGAAATCCTTATCTCGATTAACGATCTCTTCAAGTAACAAGGCTCTTCAAATTAAGTTAACATCTCCTAGAGCTCACACCTGTTTATTTGAGCGCGGTGATCTACACAACCTACTTCGCAGTCATGTTTCAGATCACATCACCCAACCTTGCTGCGTGCTGACACCACCCGCACACTTATCAATACATGCAAACTTTTGATCTCGTTGATCAGCTGACATGGATCATATCCCGAAATAAACAAGCTCTGTCACTCTATCACAGTTGTATATAAACGCAGCTTTATTCAACACAACCATCCCATCTTTTCATTGTCTACTCTTAAAAATACTACTCTTAAAAAATATAGGACGGTCAAACGAAGCAGGGCTGTTGCTTTACAATTAGAAAGTTTATTCATAGCGGGAATCGCACTGTAAAATTTACAGATCGTCACATTCAGATCATGTGCCTTAGTTAACCACTTGTATGTTTATAGGTTATATTTCCCCAACCGTGCGTTAACCGTGCCCTAAGCGACCATAATGGTTGCTTTTGGGCAGTTTGTGCGTTAACCGTGCCTTAAGTGACCGTGTCTCAACCGTGCCTTATGTAACCCTTGTTCCCTAGCCGTGCCTTAACCGTGCCTTAGTTAACCATTTGTATGTTTATATGTTATATTTCCCCAACCGTGCGTTAACCGTGCCTTAAGCGACCATAATGGTTGCTTTTGGGCAGTTTGTGCCTTAACCGTGCCTTAACCGTGTTATGTCAAACTACTGAATTGCCAGAAATTGTGTCAAAGGAATTTCCACGCCTGATAAGATGCTGCAATATATATGAATATTTCTTAATCACTTGAAAAAGAAATTTTAACACATTATAACAATTTAAAACTTTTATAAACTTTTAAAGGTTCCATGTAGAATTCATAGCAAACTTTTACAGAAGATAGAAGTTCAGCAAATCCAGAAAGAGTTCCTCGTTCAACACTACGTTTGGTATCAGCTAGATCTGACAGCTATGCGGCTATACTACGTCTACCTTCAACAGCGGGTGAACACTAAACATAGATTGCTTAAATTTACAAACAATTTCCTTCTGAAAGAGAGGTGAAGCACATTTCCAACATGTTAAAATGACCTGAAATTTTCTCGTTTTTAGTCAACTTCCACCCAGGTAAAAAAACAGTATCTGGTTTTAACAATTGCCTCTCTCAATTATAACAATCCGAGAGTTAACTGTAAGTTATTGGCAGGTAACAGCTGGAGAAGTTCGCACGTCCAGCTCAATGTTTAATGTTTACCAGTTCTCCTCCCGAAGTAACCCTGAGATAGTCCTCTCTGTCAGTATCCCTCTGCCACTGTACCCTGAACTCTACTCCGGCAGGTATTATTATTGTAAGGGGGGGGGGGGGGGGGGGGGGGGGGGGGGGGGGGGGGGGGGGGGGGGTGACATGTCTCCAATGTCTCCCGCACCTTATCTTTTCGAAAAAGACAAAGACATTGGAGACATTGGAGACATTGGAGATATTGGAGACGCAGCTTTTGGAGACATTGGAGACATTGGGGACATTGGGGACATTAGGGACATTAGAGACACAGCTTTTGGAGACATTAAAGACATTGGGGACATTGGGGATATTGGAGACATTGGGGACATTAGGGACATAAAATGGATATTAGGGGCATTGGAGACATTGGAGACACAGCTTTTGGAGACTCCTCCTCCTCCTCCTCCTCCTCATCCTCCTCCTCCTCCTCCTCAGTCCTCCTCCTCCTCAGTCCTCCTCAGTCGTTCTCCTCCTCCTCCTGAGTCCTCCTCCTGGGACCTGGGTCCTCCTCCTGGGTCCTCCTCCGGACCTCCTGGGTCCTCCTCCGGACCTCCTGGGTCCTCCTCCGGACCTCCTGGGTCCTCCTCTTCCTGGGTCCTCCTCCTCCTCTTCATCCTCCTCCTCTTCCTCCTCAATCATCAGTCCTCCTCCTCAATCCTCCTCCTCATCCTTCTCGTCAGTCCTCCTCCTCCTCAGTCCTCCCCAAGTCCCCCTCCTCCTCAGTCCTCCCCCAGTCCCCCTCCTCCTCCTATTCAGTCTTCCTCCTCCTCCTAAGTTGACAGTTCTCCTCAGTCCTCCTCCTTCTCAGTCCTCCTCCTGAGTCCTCTTCCTGAGTCCTCCTCCTGAGTCCTCCTCCTCTTCCTGAGTCCTCCTCCTCCTAGGTCCTCCTCCTTCTCCTCCTCCTCCTCCTCCTCAGTCCTTCTCCTCCTCCTCCTCCTCCCTCTCTCTCATCCTCCTCAGCCATCCTCCTCAGCCATCCTCCTCAGCCATCCTCCTCAGCCATCCTCCTCAGTACTCCTCAGTCCTCCTCCTCATCCTTCTCCTTAGTCCTCCTCCTCCTCAGTCCTCCCCAGTCCCCCTCCTCCTCCTCAGTTTTCCTGAGTCCTCCTGAGTCCTCCTCCTCCTGAGTCCTCCTCCTGGGTTATCCTCCTAGGTCCTCCTCCTTCTCCTCCTCAGTCCTTCTCCTCCTCCCTCCTCAGTCCTCCTCCTCATCCCTGTCAGTCATCCTCCTCAGCCATCCTCCTCAGCCCTCCTCAGTCCTCCTTCTCCTCCTCAGTCCTCATCCTCAGTCCTCCTCTTCAGTCCTCCTCCTCCTGGGTCCTCTTCATCCTCCTCCTCTTGCTCCTCAGTCCTCAGTCCTCCTCCTCATCCTTCTCGTCAGTCCTCCTCCTCCTCAGTCCTCCCCAGTCCCCCTCCTTCTCCCCCTATTCAGTCTTCCTCCTCCTCCTATTCAGTCCTCCTCCTTCTCATTCCTTCTAAGTCCTCCTCCTGAGTCCCCCCTCCTCTTCCTCCTGAGTCCTCCTTCTGGTTCATCCTCCTCCTAGTTCCTCCGCCTTCTCCTTCTCCTCCTCAGTCCTTCTCCTCCTGCTCCTCCTCCTCAGTCATCCTCTTCAGTACTCCTCAGTCCTCCTCCTTCTCAGTCCTCTTCCTGAGTTCTCCTCCTCCTCCTGAGTCCTCCTTCTGGGTCCTCCTCCTCCTAGGTCCTCCTCCTTCTCCTCCTCAGTCCTACTCCTCCTCGTCAGTCCTCTTCCTCCTCCTCCTCCTCCTCCTCCTCCCTCTCAGTCATCCTCCCCAGCCATTCTCCTCAGCCATCCTCCTCAGTCCTCATCCTCCTCCTCAGTCATCCTCCTCCTGGGTCTTCCTCCTCTTCATCCTCCTCAGTCCTCAGTCCTCCTCCTCATCCTTCTCGTCAGTCTTCTTCATCCTCAGTCCTCCCCCAGTCCCCCCTCCTCCTCCTTCTACTATTCAGTCCTCCTCCTCCTCAGTTCTCCTCAGTCCTCTTCCTTTTCAGTCCTCCTGAGTCCTCCTCCTCCTCTTCCTCCTGAGTCCTCCTCCTGGGTCCTCATCCTCCTAGGTCCTCCTCCTTCTCCTTCTCCTCAGTCCTTCTTCTCCTCCTCCATCCTCCTCAGTCATCCTATTCAGCCATCCTCCTCAGTACTCCTCAGTCCTCCTCCTTCTCTGTCCTCCTCAGTCCTCTTCCTGAGTCCTCCTCCTAGGTCTTCCTCCTCTTCATCCTCCTCAGTCCTCAGTCCTCCTCCTCAGTCCTCCTTCTCATCCTTCTCGTCAGTCTTCTTCATCCTCAGTCCTCCCCCAGTCCCCCTCCTCCTCCTCCTATTCAGTCCTCCTCCTCCTCAGTTCTCCTCAGTCCTCTTCCTTTTCAGTCCTCCTGAGTCCTCCTCCTCCTCTTCCTCCTGAGTCCTCCTCCTAGGTCCTCATCCTCCTCCTCAGTCATCCTCCTCCTGGGTCTTCCTCCTCTTCATCCTCCTCAGTCCTCAGTCCTCCTCCTCATCCTTCTCGTCAGTCTTCTTCATCCTCAGTCCTCCCCCAGTCCCCCTCCTCCTCCTTCTACTATTCAGTCCTCCTCCTCCTCAGTTCTCCTCAGTCCTCTTCCTTTTCAGTCCTCCTGAGTCCTCCTCCTCCTCTTCCTCCTGAGTCCTCCTCCTGGGTCCTCATCCTCCTAGGTCCTCCTCCTTCTCCTTCTCCTCAGTCCTTCTTCTCCTCCTCCTCCCTCTCAGTCATCCTCCTCAGTCATCCTATTCAGCCATCCTCCTCAGTACTCCTCAGTCCTCCTCCTTCTCTGTCCTCCTCAGTCCTCTTCCTGAGTCCTCCTCCTAGGTCTTCCTCCTCTTCATCCTCCTCAGTCCTCAGTCCTCCTCCTCAGTCCTCCTTCTCATCCTTCTCGTCAGTCTTCTTCATCCTCAGTCCTCCCCCAGTCCCCCTCCTCCTCCTCCTATTCAGTCCTCCTCCTCCTCAGTTCTCCTCAGTCCTCTTCCTTTTCAGTCCTCCTGAGTCCTCCTCCTCCTCTTCCTCCTGAGTCCTCCTCCTAGGTCCTCATCCTCCTAGGTCCTCCTCCTTCTCCTTCTCCTCAGTCCTTCTCCTCCTCCTCCCTATCAGTCATCCTCCTCAGTCATCCTATTCAGCCATCCTCCTCAGTACTCCTCAGCCCTCCTCCTTCTCTGTCCTCCTCAGTCCTCTTCCTGAGTCCTCCTCCTCCTCCTGAGTCCTACTCCTGAGTCCTCCTCCTGGGTCCTCCTCCTCCTGGGTCCTCCTCCTCCTAGGTCCTCCTCCTCAGTCATCCTCCTCAGCCATCCTCCTCAGCCATCTTCCACAGCCATCCTCCTCAGCCATCCTCCTCAGCCATCCTCCTCAGCCATCCTCCACAGCCATCCTCCTCAGCCATCCTCCTCAGCCATCCTCCTCAGTACTCCTCAGTCCTCCTCCTTCTCAGTCCTCCTCAGTCCTCTTCCTGAGTCCTCCTCCTGAGTCCTCATCCTCCTCCTTCTCCTCCTGAGTCCTCTTCCTGGGTCATCCTCCTCCTAGATCTTCCTCCTTCTCCAATCATACATCTACGTCTCCAGTGTCTCCAATGTCTCCAATGTCTCCAAAAGCTTTGTCTCCAATGTCTCCAATGTCTCCAATGTCTCCAATGTCTCCAAAAGCTGTGTCTCCAATGTCTCCAATGTCTCCAGGACATGTCTCTGCACCCTATCTTTTCAAAAAAGACAAAAGACATTGGAGACATTGGAGACATGTCACCCCCCCCCCTGTAAGCTACAACAGATATTATAGCAGGTATTACAGTTGCAATTATCATCATTGTACTGCATGTATAATGTATGTTACATTATACAGCATGTTTAATGTATGTTACATTGTACTGCATGTATAATTTATGTTACATTGTACTGCATGTATGATGTATGTTACATTGTACAGTATGTATAATGTATATTATATTGTACAGCATGGTTCTCTCACTATGTGGTATTTTGGTGCCGCACCGTATGAATGGTGTAATTTCTAAATTCACCTCCTAAATCCAGACTCCTCACTCCAGCTGCTAATATCAGAGTTCTGGTCAACAGAATCTAGATTCTAGAGTACACCAAATTTACTGCTACTAATGTGTTACTATGTGTTACTATGTGTTACTATGTGTTACTATGTGTTACTATGTGTTACTATGTGTTACTATGTGTTACTATGTGTAACTATGTGTTACACATGTGTTACTATGTGTTACTATGTGTTACTATGTGTTACTATGTGTTACTATGTGTTACTATGTGTAACTATGTGTTACACATGTGTTACTATGTGTTACTATGTGTTACTATGTGTTACTATGTGTTACTATGTGTTACTATGTGTTACTATGTGTTACTATGTGTTACTATGTGTTACTATGTGTTACTATGTGTTACTATGTGTTACTATGTGTTAATATGTGTTACTATGTGTTACTAATGTGTTACTATGTGTTACTATGTGTTACTAATGTGTTACTATGTGTTACTAATGTGTTACTATGTGTTACTATGTGTTACTAATGTGTTACTATGTTACTAATGCCGTGTTATCCCAGTAAGAGGTACATGATCGGGCCCACCAGCTGTAGCATGCCCGACAGCAGGGTCAACGTGACAGTGCTCCGTCCCTCCAGTGACATTGAGAGTTTAGTCCTGTGTATTGGGTATAATGCTCACTACTTCGTCTACCTTATACATAGTGGTATGTACATGGTATTTCGTGTATTGTTCTATTTTGTACAGAGTGGTATGTACGTGGTATTTCGTGTATTGTTCGGAGTGTGACTCTAAAAATGCTGAGATAAATAACAATGGCAATTTTGTGCAGATTTTGTGCAGAGAGTCAGAGAGTGCGAGTTTATAAAATACTAATACTATACAATATGTAGATACCGTGCAGTGTTTCATCATTTCCAAGTCTGAAGAGTAGAGCGGCACCATGTTATGTGCATTATTTATTTTTGATTCATCATCTAATTCCAATATATCTATAATGATTATTTATATTTAATTTAAACAAATATCTGCAGGATTCCTTGTGGAATGTAAACACGGTGAAGCGGAGGGCGAAACGCAGTGTGTAATGTTCTTCAGCATGGCTGGTTATGTGTTCGTGTACTCACCTCCTACTGTCCTCCACTGTATAGATGCCAGGTGACTGTTCAGGATCAATTAGTTATCCATTGGTTATTTATTGATTATTAGTTTTTTGACAAATAAATGTGAATTTTACGAAAAGTTAGAGCTTATAATACTACAGGGAATAATGCTCCAACACGTGCAAATTCTTAGAGCGCATGTTCACTAATGAAAACGCTCTCAATTTTTGTTCGACTTCTAGGGAAGGGCAGGATTAGGTTCCGAGAAAGTTAGTTTAACAAAAGGTACAGTGGAGCTGCACGTGCCTGCTTCACTTATTTACTCACCAGTTGGTGTTATGAGGTCCAGGAACAAACACAGGCTTATGAACTATTAAATCCTTAAATGTTTCTACCATTTATTTAGTCTGACTACCTCTTCAAGGGAAATTTAAGATTTATTCCAAACAATAACCGACAGTGCAGGTGGTTAAAGTTCACATGTTTCTTTACCAGCCATCTGACCGCGGTTTACCCTCCAGTTCAATGGAGTTAATTTCATCCTGCTGGATGAAATTTCAATTTAAGTAATGCTTTTCAACTCCAGGACCGTAAATGTGTTGTTCCACTAAATTAACACGACCATCTTGAGGATGACCTGATCAAGCTTCACTGGCTGAATATAAAGAAACTTATTGCATTCAAAATCTTACTACTATCTGATAGTTCCTTGCTAGGATTGGCTCTAACTTAATAATATCTGCAAGACATGTTCAGATACTCACATCATGGTCACTCATTGAAACTGATTATCCCATATTTCAAATTCTAAGTTTAGTGAGCGTACTATCTTATCTGAAGTGGCTCCTAATTCTAAGTTTAGAACTATCTTATCTGAAGTGGCTCCTAATTCTAAGTTTAGAACTAGATCTTATCTGAAGTGGCTCCTAATTCTAAGTTTAGTGAGCGTACTATCTTATCCGAAGTGGCTCCTAATTCTAAGTTTAGTACTATCTTCTCTGAAGTCAAAATTTTTGGAACGTTTTTCTGAAAACCACTTTTCTCCACGTTTCATGGGACCCTGTTCATTATTTAATTAGCCGAAAATATTGTGTGAAAAATCCTCATATTGTTTGTCCGTTAATGTCCGCCAATGTCCGTCCGAGCCCGTCAATGTTCGCTCATATCCCAAAAACACGTCCGTTGTCTCATAGAATCCAAAAAGGACAGGACATAGGCGGACATGTCACCCCCTCCACTACAGCATTTGAGATCTTACTGTTAACATACAGTCACTGAAGTCCAAGCTCAACTATGATATTATATAGAAATTCAGAACTAAGGTATTTTAGCATGGCGTTATATATTAGTCCCGATCGTGTAATTCACTCAGGTGCTGTGTAATTTAATTGCAGTAAAATTGTATCTTTAACAATTTCAATTTTTCCTGATACCTTATGTTTCAAAATACCGCGATGTAACCAGCCCCCAGTCAGGGAGCATCAGATTCTAAAATCTCCATATGTACGCTAATATCTGTCTGTCCCTGCATTCATGTCATCAGCTGTTTTGACTGCCACTGCACTGTGTATTCAATAGCATCGCACAAATTTGGAAAAACTTCAAGAGACTTATAAACAGCATATCCATCTGATTGATTTAGATTCATTGTCCATTGACCATCGTTCATTTCAATTTTCAGCTCGACCCACCTTACAAGAAACAGTATGGTGTTTGAAGACGTGCCCCTACCCTGTTCTCTCACCATCGACCTGCAAGGTTTGTCAGAAAGCAATTTAAAGGGTTACACTGTAAATATCGAATGAAAAATTTAGAGAATGCACTATATTATTATTAATAAGGAATGTACAGATATTTCCTCAGATTATGTTCAGCATGCTGGCAAGGAGATGCCTCTGTGTCCCTTGAAACTTATGTCGGGGGACCCTGCATTAATAGTCAATCAGTCTACCATATACCGGGTAAGATAGTGTTCAGAACTGGATTATTAGATGACAGTTTGTTAACTTTTAGAGTGGAGGCTGTTATCATTTGATCTTACTAGCCCTTCTGTTTCTATAGATTCTGATTATTTTACTCTTTTTAGATTGAGCTGAAGTCGGAAGATATCTTATCTCGGTACAAGTCTATTTCTTGTCCTGCAACCTGGTCCTTCCTCATGCATCTCGCAGTAGATCATCTCAAAGAATTGAAGGTAGAATATTGTCTCAAATTATGTATTTATGATATTTTGATTAGAAGATGCTATACTGGCCAACAATTTTCGCCAAGCAATCTGATTGAACAATATTTTTATTTTCAGTTGGCTCACAAGATGTTGCTACATTCGATGGCAGTGTATCCTAGCAGTAAGATTTCAGAGCTTATCAAGGAATTCTTACTCACAGCTAGTCATGTAACTCTATTCGAACAGGTACAAAGTAAATACCCCGTCCAGCATAATCTCGCAACGTAAAAATTATAATCATTTTTTGAAGAAGTTGGAGCCTCAAGCCTGGAGGTTAAATGTCTAAAAATATTTCGGCGTATATATATATCGAGAGCACGTTTCATTGATTTTTTCATGCGATTTGTATGAGATTTCACCCGTGTATGCAATTTGTGTTCCCGGGTAGGTGGCACATGTTTCGGTGGTTAAATAACACCTAGGACTCCTAAACCACCAGGAAAACTAATTAGCATAGTGAGACATATCGGTCACAGAATAACAGATAAAATTGTCTTACCGGTAACCGCGAGTCAAAATAAGTAGAAATGCGCGCGCAATGAGACAAAATTTAATTTATTTTCGTTCCTGAGCTGGCTGCATGGCGTGATGAAAACAAACCCCTACACACTTGCTATCTCTAAGAAATGATTTAGTTTCAAATTTCGTCAAGTTCTCGAAATATTTGCTTACACCCGAAATATTTTCGAGTAACTGTTTTCTTTACAGGAGGGAATCACAAATGACATGCTGAGTGCCATGCCTTATGCTAACGAAGATCCCCAGCTAGCAGTACTGGATCGGAACAGAATATTGAAGATATCAAACATTTTCCAGACAATAACGAAGCCTATGTTGACCTCCCAGAAGGTCCTCAACATCGTCACTTACGCCGGCCCCTTCATCAGGTTTTTTCCCTAATTTTGGACTGCCAATTTTGATATAAATTTAAGGGCTAAGGCAAAATCTCGCAACTAAATCGCACTTATCAGGTCTAGTGTTAGATGTGGGAAACAGTGGTGAGGTGATGGACATATAACCATCCAAATACCAGAATGGGTCCTAAAGCTGTTCCGGGATCCGAAAAGAACTAGCGCTATATCCCTGGAATATTATCCCGAGATTGCTTATGGGTCGTTCACATATTACGTAATCAGGCGGGGGGGGGGGGGTTCCAAATGATTAAGCTAGTATAATTTGACACAATAGCTATGTGTAAAAATTATTACGGAGGGGGGGGGGGGTAAAAATTGTCGTCCGTACTCCGACTTACTTCTAACAAGTTCCATATTACCCCAGGTTTAACTTAGAAGAATTTGTGACGCGCTGTGCTCCAATGGTATCGCATACCCCGGGGGCAACGACCCATTCAACGTCACGGTCATCTATATCTGGTCCAAGCAGTACTGCACCCTCTAGCAGTGCCAACAGTACAAGCTCTAATGAGGACATCCAGTCCCTCTCCTCTCACTGTAATGATTCGGACGACGAGGAGAAGTTGCTGGCCGACACGATCTGCAATGCACTGGAGTATCACATCAAACGGAGATTTAATGAGACTCTCCGTTTGAAACATTGCCAAGACGCAGCTAAGCAATACTTCCTCAATCTGGCTAAACAGTGCAGAATAGTGCTGTCCCTGGTGTTGATATCGACAGGGAGAACTCCAGATTGGTATCCAGAATCTGACTGTTTGCAGGAAGATGTGCCTGAACCTGGCATCGGAGCTCTACTTAAACTGTTAGACGTTCTAAAGTACACTATGATACAGTTAGGGTGCCCTGCTCCAATTACTTTCGAGTGGGTGCATGTCTACAGTGCATATAAAGCGCTGTCGACGGAACTGTTCTTGAGAAGACTCTCGACCAAGTCGGTCAAGGTTACCCCTACGACGGTGAAAAAGTTTTTGTCGATGCTCCCAAAAGACTCAGAATCACAGATACTGTGCAGTGCTCTAGTCTCCTCACTATCCCGCAGCCAAGCATTGCAAGCTCTCAAAGCTTGGGACAGCCCCACTTATCGCAGTTTTACTGCACAGAATTACCTGGTAGCACTGCGAAACAAGGTGGGATCAGGTCTCCGCAGTCCGGCTGAACCTGTCTCTGACACACCAAGCTACCTTCGTACTCATCCCTTTATCCCTGTTAACAGTTTCTACTCGTATCTCTATCACAAGATTCAGGCCCCCGATCTGGCTAGGAAGTTGCAGGCTCTGAGTGACATGAGCATGGAGAAGACTAGGGAGAGGGAAACGGACGGTACACTGAGAGGCATTACTTTTTACTAGATTATAATCGATCAGGAATTTAATCATATCCATTTCAAGACACTAAAGGGGACCTGTGGTTTTAAAATAGCACTTTTTTTGGTATGATATTAGATTTCTGAGTAATAAATTATGTTCTTAATTTTATATTAGTCAACTGAACTTGGACATAAGTATAATCGCAAATTTTGTGCGATTCCATAAACCCATAAATCCAATTTTTATTTTTAAACATTGCAAAGTAGGACATCGCTGGCGATGCCTATTACATGATTTAAATCATTGCATTATGTGACGTTGTTTATTTAGGTTTAGTTTTTCTAGTGAACAATTGATACTGTCTTTACTTTAACAAAAGCTATAAAATGTAAAACAAAATAATATAGCGAATTAAATCCTATGTTTTTATACGATTATAATGTATGAGATTGTTTAACAGTTTATTGCTGATGACATACTTTATCACTGTTTCAAATAAATCCTACAAGTAGACAACATCAATTTTTATATCAAATCAAAAATTCATTGATCCATCTCAGTTCATTCAGATCAGCAATTATTGCTTATCTGAAATATTCAGATGATTTAAATAGTAAATAAATAGGTCCCTTAAAGTTCATGTTTTGGTGGGACTTAATAAATCCTAATACGTGGTTTTGACGCATCCAGTATCCAGAACTGATATTTTCTGTAGGTCACTATCCGTGGGCATAACAAGTGAGGGTAGTTGTGCGGAGGTTATAACACACGGATTGCTGGCGGATGACATCATGAGCTGTCCTAGGGTTCTGGGTTGGTCAGGGCGAGACAAGGGGTCTGCTCCGAGTCTCATCATATCAATTCCACCTGAAATAACGACACGTTTTAGTTGCATTTCCAAAATAGAAATAGTCCACAATTACTGCATCGTCTACTTTTAGATATGGTTATCTCGAATAAACTGTAACTTATTTCATGGTAGGATGGTATCTGAAGGGTGTTGGGCTCTGACAGGTGAAGTGGCGGCGAAGATATGGTCTGCTAAAATTACCGGAGGTAGGTCACACTTTATTTCCTTCTGTCGTTGTAATTTTATGGAAACACGTGCGCGACTGGAGCTGTTTGTCAGTTTTAATCACACGATCTTAATCCTGTGGCTTACCTTGTTGTAGAAAGAACTTGGGAAGTTGTTGAGTAAATGGGGACTGCAACGTAAGCAACTGAGGCAGGTTCCGACCAGGATACCCAAGCATGGATAGAGGTTCCACTCCTCGTCCTCTCTGAGGGCGACGTTATGTTTTATTTACAAATCAATAATCACTAATCATGCCTAATCATGCCTCATTATCGATGGCACCTTAAAAGTTTTACATCACTGGGCGTGAGAAAAGTTTATTTTCAACCTCATATACGGCACGGGAAAAGATAAATTGTCTGTGATGTGTGCACGAGGGGTAGTTAGTTTGAAAACCGTTTCACGTTACACAGTTGACATATTATTATTCCCTAAGTCATCCCGCACGCGTCGGCCGCCTCCCCCAAGTCTAACTCAGCGCCTCACCTTAATTTCGGAGAGCAGGTCTGGATCACTGAGGGGTCGCTTGAGATTGGACCTCCCTGTCACGTGACTGAAGGCGGATTGTTTCCGTACCCTGGATGGGTGAGTTGCCAGGGAGTTGTTTAGTAGCTGAGTGAAGTCGAGAGACTCAGGGTGCTCCACAAAGAAATATACCTGTTCAATGGGAAATTGTTCAAATCACGATAAATAAATGTGGAGGTTAAGCTAATTGTTGGTCGTTTAATTTCGGGGCGATGAGTCTTATTTTAAAAATTTTTCCCTTTACGTGTCACTGCGTAGCACGACGGTTTACAGTGCCAAGTTTTTGCTGTCTCTTTTGTAAAATTCCCGACCTTTCATCTGTATCGACTATTTTGTAACAGTTTATTTATAGAAGTTGTTACAGTCGGTGCAGGCCGTTTTAAACACGTTATGCATGGTCGGAACTTGGCACTTGGTCACGTTTCCTGCTACCGAGCGAGGAGCCGCGTTTAAAAAAGACTTATCTCCAGGTTTCCGCCCACAGACTGCATTATAGCAGTTTGAAGTTGGTTTATATTTATAAGGATGTTACAAAATTTTTTTTTCTTTAGATATTCTATTTTGGATATATTTATTGGACGTGGTCTTCTCAAGAGTGACAAATTTAGACCTTTTTTAAACGCGATTCTAAAAAATTGTACTGTAGCAGCATCTACAACATTTAAATTAATTTGCCATTAGTCATTTGGATGTGGGCCACGTGACGAACCTGTCTTTTTCCCGGGACATGCTGAATCAGGTTCTTTCGGTAATAATATCTTAGAGCTCGCGATAACTTGTCGTAGTTCATCTTAGGACGATTCTTGCGATTCCCCCAGCGGATCGCCATTTCCTTGCTGTTAATAACCTGAGGTAAAACAGTGTAAGGGATAAAAATAGAATCGGTTGTTATAATTTATATCCCATTTATCAGTTAGATCTTAATATGTTAAGTTCATAGGTTCGATTTTAATTCAGTGTTCGGACAGCTGACCTGATTTCAGCCTACATTAATAAAATTAGAGGCTATTCATACTTTACGAGATCTTAGCAATCACTTCCCAGTTCCCTGGTTTGTTTACGCGGATGAAGATCACTACGAATGGAAACATTTGACTTGTAATTTGATCATTCCAAATTTAGTTTCCTCTCTCTCTTGAAAACTGAAGATTAAATAATTGGAAATCTTATAGCCCGCTAGTTTTACTCTCAATATGCAGGATACGCCTCATGGTACATATTCGCTTAAAATTTGATCATACAAGGAAATGAATCGGGGTTCTGGACGTAATTTGACCTGAAGCTAACGACCACAGTAACAGTCATATTCCGGTCGAGCTGCAATTTAACCCAGGTGACATAATCATGAATGTTTTCCGAATCATTCTCCAGGTATTCACTAATCGGTGTAGCGATTCCTCTAAATATAGTACCAGCCCAGTGATTGGCTAATGTAAGGAATGCTGGCTTATCATTGGCTGTTAGGATGAGTTGTAGTGGACTGAGATCATCCCTCAGTAGGTACTGATGGGCACAATATGAAGGGGTATGTAGTGCAGTGTGACACCCGGTACCGGAAATAGGTTACTCCTCGCCGGTTGTTTCCATGGCGACGCCTGTCAGTCGAGTGCCCAACCCAACAGGGCTGTATGAACCGGCGCCCTCTTATTCTAAAACTAGACTGCCGAGAGGGTACTACTGTTTTGTCTACCGTCGTAAGCCGATACCTCTATAACGCGACCCTAATCGGCGAGAAAACTTTCGATTATCGTCATACAGTGAAATATGGCGAGGATTAATGACGAGAGTTTCCTTTCCTTTGAGACTGGACATTCTGTATGTGTCCTAGTTCGTCTACAAACCTTGAACTCCAGCGGTGTCTCCGTCCAGGCTACTATATCGTGACACGTCTCATCGGCTAGTAGTTCCAGAATGAACTGCCACAACGTCACGCCTTGTCGACCGCCTGAAACAAATAATTCAGTTAGAGGTCCCTTAATAAGGGTCTGATGTGAACTTGAAAACTTTTTTACGGTCTCCTGGTCTTAATTTGAGTAAGGAGCTGTGGTCTATTGTGAAGTAAAAGTGTTTGGAATTGAGGCACTGATTTGAAGGAAAAGAGTCTTCCGCAGCGCACCATGTGACTCGCGTCTGATAAATTGGAGATACTACGTAACCCAGGCTAAGATATACAGACAAAATAGTTGGTATAATTGGAGGGGAAGTTGTCCGATTGGCCAGTTCCCCCTTAACTCCAGGTACTACACTGTAATACAATTAGATTGGCTGGCAACCTCGTGAGACGCTTAACAAGAATTTAATTTACTAATGGATTACTCCTGATCAGCAGATAGTGCTATTTCCTTACAGGCTGGGAACTTCTCCTGGTAGACCCGTACAGGACGGAGACGTAACCTGGGGTAAGGGGAGCCGGACCAGGTCCCCTCCGGACTTTATAGTGTGACTAGACGCTCCCTCATGTCACCTCCTCCTTTCTTCTCGTCTCCAGTCGGAGCGACAGAGGGCGAGGGAGGGAGGTTAACCGAATAGGGTCAGACCTCGGATCTTCTTTTGTAAGATACCTCGCGGGGAGCGAAGGACCAGTGTCGTGTTATAATGAGACGTCCATTTTGTGACTTTATTGTTGAACCTCCCCGGGATCAGACACTACTCTCGGAATTATTCAATCGTCGTGACGGGGTCCGTATTTCAGTACTTTGGCACGATGAGACACTACTCCACTCTGCCAACTCGTTCGCCGCGCGACTAGACCCCTCGTATTGTAGTTCCTTGAAAGGTCTCGGGAGATGCTGTTACTGATTGGGAGACGCTACTAATTGTAACATCGCATCTCTCGCTAAAAACACTATCAATCAATCAAAGATTGGTGGTGGGCGAGCCTTGTCTCAATCTGAAGACAAGGTAGCATGTAGGATAACGGGAGGAGGAGGAGGGGAGTAACAATAACTCTACCCTCGAGCCGCGGAGTCTGTAACTCAGAGCACTTGCTTCCCCCAGTATTTGTCAACAAGGCTCCCCGCACTCGCTCACCATCTCACTGTATTTGTCCAAACAAATACCCCGATCGTGGAGCACGCCCGGCAGTGCCGGAGCCGAGTCTTCCGTCTACCTTTCACCTGTCAGTTTTCACCGGAACTGAGATTTCCCCGGCTGTAGACTGAGAGACGCGGGCTGCTGTCACCAGCTTCCTCGAACACTCACAATCTGAGACCTCTGTCCTGGACAAACACGTGGCTGGGGTGGGGGCAGCGGTAATGTCCCCTAATCTGCACACTGGCTATATAGTTGAAAGGCTGGTTTGTTTTACTAAAACTTTTAGGATATCATTTTCATATTCACACGCATAGGCGCGAAAATGGTATTATCAAGCTCATTGAACTCTGAAGGCCTGAAAGTGGTAAAGGTTATGGCTGGAAGCCAGTTGAGCAGTTTTTGAATTCCAACGTTTAGATTAAGCAGGATGTCAAAGTTAATGGTCGGGAGAAGCAGTCAGCAGACGCTTCAATTTTTCACCCTGTTAGTGCCACAGGTACTTCTTTTATCGCTTCCTAATTCTCTCGCCGCGATAATCAGTTTAAATTAAAGACTATATCTAAATTGTCGTAATGTATCGACGGTTTAAGTTGGCGCCTCCTGGACTGGTGAGTGCAGATGCGTTTCCATTACAGTACGGATAGACAGCATCCGCCGGCCATTCGAGGAATGTTCAATGTCTTGTCTGCAATGTGCTCTCACGTGACCCTTGGCCTCACCGTGACGTGTGACTGTGCTATGTGAGAGGGGTTGAGTGACTTGAGTGGAACAAAAAGTGAATTCTTCAAGGAGTTCGATAAAAATTTAGAGCGTAGTTTATTATTATTATAGTAATATGGTAGTAGTGTTCAAGAGATAGACAAAACGATGAACTTACAATCGATGCCGTTTGATGAGGGTCGTCTTTCTGTCTTGGAGGTCGGGAAATAATTCCTGTTCAGTTTATCTTCCTCTCCTTCTACGCTGCTATCTGATGACCGTCTTCTCTCTACAGAAAAGCAACCGAGTTAGAATTGGATGCAGTCTTGGTATAATTATTATTTAATGGTCCAGTAATTTTCTCATTTTTGTAGAGCTTTTAATTTTTACTGACTTAAATTCAATGACCTTCACTCACCTAGCTGGGCGGAAGGTTTCCTGTCATCCTCGTTCTGTTCTTGCTTCACTTGTTCTGAGGGCCGTGCTCCGATCGTCAGATTAAACTGGTCTCCCGCCACAGGCTGTAGTCGTACAATATCCTCAGCAGTGATTACTGAAGATCTATTGTAGGAGGGCGACTCACCTGGAGTCTGATAGTGCAGTGGTAATCTGGGGAGAGGGTGTTGTGGTTAGAATCGCATGTCTGAAGGATACGACTTGATATGTGAAATGGTCATTGTCGATTAGAATATCCGCTAAGGAAATATGATCGTTGGCACTCGTAACTGTGGCTATAAATTTAGTCTTGATCTAATTTTACGATGCTTTTCGTATCAAGATATTTATTCCCAAGAGTACATATTTAGAGAAGCCAACCTGTCTTGAGAAGAATGAAGGCTGAGAGGTGGAGGAGATATAGTGAGAGCTGGAGACTCGGGAGCACCCCTGGACGGAGACAAATTCGAGACATACGGTTTCAAACCAGGTTTCAGATCTTCAGAGTGTTTAGGTGAGAGATGTCTCTGATCGTGTGGTAGATGTGTCTCGAAGGGAGGGTGTGTGTGGTCTGCTGGAGGAGAGTGTCTAACCAGGGCAGCGGTACTCTGCAGTAAGTCTAGCGAAGAGCGGAATATGTTCCCTCCTCTGATCCCAACCATGTGCTCGATCTGAACATCAGTCGAGGATTATTAACAAACACTAAAATTACCAACCCGTGTTCACACCGCAATGTTTTATTTGCTATTGCTAAGATGAAGTTTGCACCAGTTTTCTAATCCTGATTTTTGATTAAGTTAAACACTCACCAACTGCGGAGAAAGGCTACAAAGTCCTGCACCGTCTACATTGAACTCTGTGATGTCGAGCTCTTCCAGATCGTTGGCTTCCCTTAACCAGCACAACCAATTCTGTGTCTGTCTCTTTGTCCATTTGTACGGATCTGAAGTAGTTTTGATTGAGCTATTGTAATTACACCTTACTCGGTTCTACTCTATTTAAAGGATCACTGAGTATGATTTAGTGCAAACAGGGCTGTTTAATTCCAACTCCAGTTCTCTTCTCCAGTTCTCTTCCCGTTACTCAAACCAAACTTTAGACTCAGTTAAGCTGTCTAAAAGCTGTAGGACCTGTCTGAACTCATCACTTATAATAACAGCAGACTTTCTTCGCCAGGCTATCCTCTTCTTCTTTGAGGAGCTACTCAGAATCAAATTTCAGAGCATTACTGAATACTGTTCGATCAGTGGACGGATTGGCAAGGAATTTTGTAAGTTTAAGGAAGTATCTTGAGCACCAGTATGTGTTATGGTGTTATTCACAAATTATAGCGGACCTCATCAAAAACATGGGACCATTACGATAGAATAAAGGAACATAAAATTTAGAAATTTGGAGTATTAGGGCCAAAGGGTGGGGTGGGGAAATTGATTCATATGCCTCATAAGCTAGCTTGTCAGGGTCAGCATGGAAATCATTAAGCGGTTCAAATCCGTGCAGGGCCCTGTTAATTGTTGCTGTTCCATTAACCACTCAGCACAAGCTAACGCCAGCTTTAAATAATTAACTTTGTGTAATTTCTACATAAAAGCTATATTATGTAAAATTGATTACAGAAGGGAAGTTTCTAATATCGCCAAAAAGTGATAACGTAATATGTGGACGATCCCTCACGTTGTTTTCAGTTGCATAGTACCTTACTTATTAAGGAATTTCGACTATTAATGTTCAACTAACTGCTTGATACAATCTGAGATGTGTTGCACAGGTTAGGAGATATTTACTTCTGTGGAAAGTTTGGATACAGAGAATTATGAGAAAAAACACGATTATTAATGAAAAGAATGATGTAATGCGTTGAATAAAAACAGTTTTAAGTCGCAGACTTGTTGTTGTCTTTCCTTCTTTCGTTTATCGAACCTAATTATAGGGTACCAGTATCATGCATTTTAATTTCAGCGTGAGCTTACCTACACTTTTTTTCTGGATATTTTGACCTGTTTCCAAGAAAGTAAAAACAAGATGTTTGAATGAGTTAATATAATAGTCGACACGATACCTAAAGCCTGGCTGATTAACGAACACTAAAATCGCCTTCAAATTTCTTGTTGTAAACACCTCTCCTGATTTATTATATATAATGTGTTCCTATTCTGGTGTTTTTATCGTTTTGTGCTACTAAGTACATATTCTGCATGTGTGAATTTAGCTGTTGAGAACTCCCAGAATACACACTACTACTTTTATCTTATAGACTAGGGGAATCATAGTTTAACAGAATACGAAGGAATAGGATAAACTTAAACTCATCAGTGTGTTACTGGCATTTTACCTTGCAATAAACTAACTAGTAAGTTTGATTATGTAGAAGGATTAAGTATATTTCTGCAATCTGCACAATAAGTAGTGATACTGATAGATATTGACACCCACAACTTAACCACATTATAAGTATAATGCGGTAGTAGTAGTAGTAGTCATGCTGTTAATGTTAAAGTCTCTGCTGAGATTTACAATTATTCCTTCTTATGTGGTCACCGTTAAAATTAGAGCTAAGCTGTGTTTACGGTATATACCGGAGTATACCGGAGATTTTTACAAAAAATACACTGCTGAGTGTGTCTCAATCGTCAATTGCGATTAGTGCCTGTGATAGAATGACGCATGATATAATAATGCAATGAGGGTTACACTGATTTTAGAAGAAATTCGAAATTGAATTTCTAACCTAAATTGATACTTGGTTCAGTATGCCTGAACAAAACATCGGAAACAAGACACTAGTCATTAAGTTCATATTCAAATACATAATTGGATCATATTTGTTCATATTTCATTTTCATATCTGTATGTCCTCTTCATATTTGGTTTAGCTCAGGTATTGGTTTAAACTGAAGTAGACAACGTTTTATCACCTGCAAAGTATTAATTTTCTGTATGCCATTTCCTATGATTACAGATTTTGTGCACACGCCTTGGAAGTTTCACTTGGGTAGGGGCACCAAACTCTTGCTTGAGTAATTTATTATCATTCACAAACAAGATTTAGGGCGGCTTCGCTTCGTTGAATATAAAACGTATCACTAAGGATCCCAAAATCTATAGTCGTGCGCTCAGAATATTTTGAATAATTGTTTTTCGAAAAATTTAAATCATTCGTGTTATCAGTTCAAACAAAAGAGAAATTAGGTAACTGATATGGATAAAATGTCAAAGAAAGGCTGGTACCTGCCGGTAGAGACAATTCTAGGGGGAGGTTCACTCTTGCTTCTCCAGCAATTTCGCTACTAAAGTTGATATTACATCGACCTATCCTAGCGAAATCGCCGCTATTCGAAGTTCCTTCCACTTTCAGCATGTTGGTCACAAAAACGAAACTAATTTGTTTTTAACTTGCCAAATCAAAACGGTTCAATGAAAAATAATGGGGTGGCTGGGTCTCGACTCAGTGTACTGATCGGAAACTGCCTCTAGACAGCAGGAATTGGGTGACGTAACCGTGTTACTTAATCTCCTTCTCTGCAGGTGATCACGCGGCGTTGCTAAGCGACCACGTGAACGTCACGTGGGCGACAGAAGAGGTCGCAATTTGATGTTTGGTGTCATGTGACAAAGCGTTGCGTCACCTCACAGGGCGCGTATTGTGTTGTGTTACCATAAAGTCTACTTGACCTGATACCTCTGCAATATCTTGAGGCAAAGGCTTTGACAATTTGGCAAGGCCAAGATAATTACTCAAGTAATTACTCAATAAATGCCAAGGTCTCACCTCTCAATTTGAGTTACAGTCAATCAAAACAAGGAGTATCTTAAAGAACAGGGCGTGAATTTCCAATCAAAAGTATTCCGTTATAATAGTCTAAAATTAATATCAGATTCCTCTTCTTGAGCTGAAGCCAAGTTCAATCATCCTGTTTCTGACCCTGTCTGCGAACGGTCCGCGGTTTGGGGGTCTCAGGGATCGCCGCTCCTCTGCCATGGAGTTTTCAACATTCTGGCCCATCAGATAGTGCGGAATAGATCTCCTCACTGCAGGAAGATACGATTTCAGAGCTTCAAGTTCGGCCTGGGCCTCTTCGGAGTTTTTGTCGTCCGTATCCTCACCAAGGAGGGAAGCCAACATCTCTTCGGTTTTCGGGCACAATGAAAAGTCAGCGAACATACGCCTCATTCGCCATCTTGTCTTCATATCCTTTGTCAGCAACTCCAAAGGTATGCTTTGAGTTTTCAGGATAATTTCCTTGAACTGCGGAGATCTAATGCTGTAGGCTGATATCTCGCATGTGGCCACCATGGTGAACATGTACTCATTACGGCCACACAAATGTTCAAAACCGCCAACAAATTCTCCAGGGCCAACATCTATCACCGGCAATCGTTCTGTCTTGTTTCTCTGTCGAAGTTTGGTAGAAGGAAGGTGCTGGACAGCCTCTGGAAGGATCAAGCGCGGAATTTTCACATCGAGGTAAATCCTCGCATACCCACTTTTGATCAGATAAACCACATCGGCGGGTTCACCTTTCTTTGTGAGAAAGTTGTCATTAATAAAGTGTTCCTCTAACATCTCGTGGAGTAAGACCGACTTTTGGGGTATGGTGAGACACTTAGCTATGTGATGTGCTTCAAGGAGCGACTTCTTGTCCCGAATCAGGTTCAAATAGTGAAAGTTAACAATAGTTGATTGAAGATCGGAGGGTATGACCAATAATAAACAAGGTGTATCACTTACAAAAGTGAATTGGTCTGTTTGGTTATTGTTGTCATTCTTATGTGGCATATCAGGCCCCCCGAAGTAAGCCCCTTCAGAGTAATGAACAGTAGCTTTTCCATACAATGCTGCTTTGCTCATGATTGGTATGTTTGCCATAAAGTTTTCTCCTCTAGCTATCGATTCCTTCTTTTTCTCCGCTATGCTCGTTCTCTTTTCCTCTTCTTTCAGCGTATTTCTTCGTTCAAGACAATCTGTAACCATTTGAATAACGATTGTTCGACGAGCTGCAGCTGTAAAACTTGAATTTTGTGAACCTTTTTTTTCTTTTGATTTCGATTCGTCATTTTTAGCCTCTTTATTTTCTTGTCCCTCTTCTTCATTTTCTTGTACCGTTTCTAATTGGGTTTCGGATGGAGTAATTATCGTCTGCGTCTTGTGACAAAGTGAAACTTTTCCTCTAAACAAAACGCACAGATTGGTTCGAGCTACATTAATAGGCACGTCTTCTGAACAGCGAAAGAGCTCGCTAGTTTGTAAGAGTTTAATCGCTTCGTCGTCAGCAAGATAGTAAAACATATCACATTTCCGTTTTAGACTTGGTATGTTGAGATTTATATTGGACTCACTCCTTTCCTGAGGTGGCAACTCGAGCAAATCTATCAGAGACAAAGCCATGGTGACAGAAAGTCGGAGGAAAAGTGACCGTATACCTTACAAACTGTTATCTGAACACCACTGCCAGAATATTTAAAAGCTGTGTTGCTGTGGAAACTGCACGCTTTCTGTTTTGTTGCACGTGCAATAGATTGTTTAATTTTGGTCCGAATACCCGGCTTAAGTCGAATTCAATTTGTCACGTTTATAAATTTTACTTCGCAACACACCTTCTATATCTTTGGTAGTTTCAAAATGAGAACGAGATCTGTGTTCCAGAATAAAATCTGAGCCGCATATATTAAAATAAGTCTAATTCAGATCATTTATTTCACGTTAAGGACAATGCAATTTGTACTCCTGGGATATTTTGCTTAATTTAGTAATAACGTGTTTTCGTTCGCTATGAAGTGTGCTTTCAAATCCTGTTTTTCAATAAGAAGGTATTGCATCTGAGTAGATGAGGTAAACCCGATAAATTGACCTTATCAGATATGACGAATTGGTTTAAATAGGAGAAGGCGTGTCCAACGGACTATGCTGTAGAACGCGGACCACAATAGGTCGCATAGTGCGAGCGAGTGCAGGTGGCAGTCTCTCATCACATGTCTAAGTCACGTGTCCCGCTCCATAATGATAGCGGAGCATGTCATTATTTGATCATATTATTTGAGTGCAGTACAAATCTAGGGTTTGTCTTTCGATTTGCTTGTCGAGTACTGCTGTTCTCACTTTTCAGCTAAAGTACGTTCCATTAGCTTTAGGTCAGTGCATGTTCTGTTGGGAGAAAATAGACGCACCAATAATTATCTAGCAGCCCTTCCCAATTCTTTTCCCTTGTCAGCCGCTCCCTCGACACGACAGCTTATACAAATTGTTCTCAAAAGATTTTCCCAGTGGTGGCAATGCTTTTGGACAGTGCTCAGCTATTTAATTTGTCCTTCGCCATCCTATTTTTTAAAGTATTCGTTTAAGCCGAGTTGTGAACAAAACCTTAAAAGCTAAGGAACTGCCAATGTATTCATTTGGCTTTGAAGATACTACACTTAATTTTTTGACGCCACGCTGACCATTGTCCTGTCTCTTATCAATTAAGCGTCTATCATTTGATGTATTTTGTGGGGCAGTTCTCGATAAGTCACGTGTGATCACACACTCAAATTCCAACAAACCGATACTTTTGATGGCTGACCAATAATTCTTTATCTTTTCTAGTTTTCATTAAATTTCCCTGGACGCCTGCCTGATATCAGTTCAGTTGTCGATTACAAAAATTGTTTAGTTGCATTACCAACGATTTTCCGTGGCTAGAAAATCTTTGAAGTCACACCTTATTTCCTAAATTTAGGTTTTCTTCTTTCATCGGTGTTTTAAATTTCCATTTAAACTGCTGATACCATTCGGTACAACTCCTTAGCATATTCCCTGAAGTTGCCCAGATTGAATTATTTTTGAACCAGACACGGTTCCCAGACGTTGGTTCAGTGGATACATACCTAACCTGCGGCTTCATGTTCTCTTTCAATTGTTAACGTCGGTAGTCGACTTGGTAATGATATCATCTCTCATTCCCCATCTTTCGTGTCATCAATTAATCCTTCTCTCAAATAGAAATATTTAAATTTGATTTAAGATTTTAAAGTTGTTCGGTCTTTAATTACATTTAAATAGACTATAATGCCACTCGAAGGACACCTGGTCCAGCACTTAATTAAGTACCTGAACCAGATTTAGTATTGAATTATCGCAATACGAGATCGGGAGCGCGAGTACTTGCTACCATGATGTCAACGGTTCAATCTTGGTTTACCCCTGTCAATTTCCTCAATTAGATACATCGAGAACATGGTCAGTTACCGCCCGACGAGGGGGGCTTCAGTGTAGTGCATTAATTATAGACATTATTAAATTTGATTATAGGTCTAACGCGAGAGTGAAAACTGTTTTGAAATGTAGATAGTCGGGTGGCGTGTCGTTGCATCCTATATTGGTTTTCTTAGTTCCACTCTTGTACTCAACACACTTAACTCCCGTATCATATTTTCTATTGAAACTCCCTCTAGATGTTGTGGCACAGGTGCCCAGAGAGCACTTGTTGGAAACTCAAGGTGAAGTGTTCGCACGATAATCTAGTTAACTGTTCCCAGTCCAGTGGTTCCGCCTAATTAGCCGCCTCCCTACTTGACCATTTTTGTCACTTGCTTTGCTCTGATAATTATCTCACCATCTCTCCATCCTTCGTTCTAAATGTTTTTATTTGTCAGTACTGACGACTACAAATACCCCATGTTTTAATGTTTCAGTACTTTCCGTCCAACTTATTACTGCGTAGGTGTTACCAGTACTACATTTTGTGCTGCCTGCTGTTTCACCTTGCTCTGTAGTCTGTTTGCTAAAGGAATTTTGCCAATTTACCAAGGAACTCGTGCCTCTCAACGTATATTAATATAAAGCAGCCGTGAAGCCGAGTTAGTTGATTGAAGCCCCACATACCATCCGAAATACCGTTCATTACGCAATGGAGACTGGTTTATTTCACGAATTGTCAAGATGTTTTCAGCTGCAGCCATTCTCTCTTACTTTAATAATGTGTTATTTATGTTCCGTCCATCAAACTACACGGACTCGGTCCTAACGTTACAAATTCTTTGTCATGGCATTGTTGTTAAATCAAATTAAAGGCCTTTTAAACGACATTGAAAATTACACGACTTCCTTTAATTTAGTTTTATTTTAGTTTGGCGACAATTTGTTAGGGTTATTGAGGAGAATCCTAATGAGGTGCCAGGTCTGAGGTGGTCTAGGTAGCCTGTAGCTAACATGAACTCCCGGGCGTGGAACAAAGGCAGAACTTGGGAGACAGACAGCGGACTGTGTGCATACAAATACAATGGGAATTATCACAGACCATGGGCTCTAGACCCGGCAATAACGCTGATCACCAAGCTTAGCGACCCCTACTTAAATTTAATTAAGAAGTGAGGGTCCGCGGTTAAAGAGCGTAAATAGCCTGGGATCTGGTGCCCATTGTACGGTGGAGCCCAGTGGGGGACTTCCAACTCTAAGGGTGCTATCCGGCAGTCAGTTCGGCACTCATCCTATCCTTCAACATAATTTAATCTTAATTCATGGGGTCCCTTTTTCATGCATTTCAACAGCTTTTTATAAGGATTGCTGGAGTTTTTAGTACAGTTTAGCCACGTCAATCGAACAATAATTACGAAGTTAGCATTCTTCTGTGCATCTTCGAAGTGTTGCCTTTACTTACGATTTGTCTCTTTCTATATTCTCTTTCAAATTTGGTCTTCTCATTCAGGATGAAGGTTTTTGCTGTTTTCCTGTTGGTTTTACTGCTGGTTGAATCCAGAAAGGTAATCACGAAATTTCGCCTCAGATCGACGTTTTAATTTAGGCATTTAATTCACAAATCTTATAAACTTCAAATTAAATGACAAAATCAACTCTAGGAATCAGTTTACAGAGATGTATGATTTCAGTGTTTATATTCTATTTTTGGCTTGTCTAGGTCATCTCACGATATTCACCAACATTTGTGTTTCAGACGAGGAACAGATCAAAGCTGGGGAGAACTCTGCCAAACTACAAGAAGTTTAACCATGATGTTGAGTTACTGCAGGTTAGTTGGTGAACGGCCTTTGAATGCTACCAACCTTAAGCGAAGCATTCTATTTCTGACACTTTTTGCACCTAGCAATACGGTCTAGGATTTTGGGCCTTACGGCTCACTGTCTGCAGCATTTGGCCGTCTGTCATCAAGAATTCGCAGATTACCCGAGGGACTCGATATTTTTTGAATTTCAGTGCAGCTTCGATCTCAAATTCCTGTCTAGTGTGTGTTGTTGAAAGCTATACGATAGCCGTCATGATTTAATGTTATTCATTCAAAAACTAGAATTTGATCTGATACTTGACTCGAGTGGTTATCTCCTTTGTTAGTCAAAGCACGTGCATGCCCGGCCCTATTTAAAACACTGATTTAAACTGCGGTCCAGGAGCTTTATTTTGATAGAGTTGAGAAGCTACAATCCGACAAGTGCTTGCTATTATTTGAGAGGAGTGGGAGATATACGACGCCATCTCAGTTGGTTGACAATAACAGATCCATGAGAACCGTGTCACGTGGCTCAGATAAGATTTGTTCGCATTTATGAGAAAATAGACCGCGTCCTATTGTCCAGGGATATCGTAAAAACCGCGCGACTGTTTTACAATGGAGCGGAGATCTTTTTCGAGCGGTGATGAAATTAATGTGGGGAGAAATTAGAATTCGAAGAAGTTTGAACCGATGAAGTAAAGGATAATTACGTATGGGGCTTATTTTAATTTTGAAAAAATGAGAAAATAATTTTTTTTTTTCAAAGATGAAAAATACAGCTCAGTAAAGTATTCTTTTTAGAGGCAGAAACGACGTTTGTTTTGGAATTGCAAAGTTAAGAGAAACGTTGTTGATATAGATTGTACATATTACGATGCGGAGGTCAGTTCAAACACGAAAAACTTAATCACTAACTACTTGTATGTATGTTGCTTTTCATGTAAACCCTCTGATTACAAGCTGATTTCATGCACACTTCGGCTCTTAGCTATAACCATGAGAGAGAGAAAATGTTTGATTTTCTTTGCACTGACCTCTAGCTTCATGATTTTGTTTCTAAAACGAATATATTCTCTTAATTCTGTTGCTGAATATATAATATGTGTCATGAAAACTTTGCTGTTCAGTTTGTAATTTTATATACATTTGTTTCTAATCGCCCCAAAAGATCACCGAAATTTCTGCGCTACGCCAATGATAACCAGTCATCTGTGCAGGGAGACAGACAGAATATCCCGGGCCAGTCCATTAATCCGGTCAAGTCGTGGGAGACATTTGTCAGTCAGAATGAGGACTCGGACGGTGGAAGTAGTTTCCAGCAAGACCACAACAATGGTGGGATGTCCACCAAGAGCACTGGAAGTGAGGTAAACTATGCTAGAATCTTCTTAAAATAATGGACAACAATGACATTGAAATCCAATAGAATGTTTAGACCGCGAAAATTTTTAACCGGGTAAGAGCCACCCAGACCCTCAATCTGGAGCCAGTTTGTTATCTAAATTGGTTTTACTTTTACTTGAAGAACATGAGCACTTTCCGATCTACCATGCACTGTTTCCTAGAAACATTTACCTCGTTTTTTCCACTATCAATGTAAATGCATTTCGTTGTTTTTTATCTTTAGACAGATCGGAGTTAATTTTCGTGAGCTTGATAATGAGCCTGATTTTAATTTGATGGTTCGTTTCAGAGGTTCAACACAGTTGAAGTAATCCCGGGACCGCGTGGACCGCAGGGACCCCCTGGAATGTTGCTATTGGAGGAATTCGCTGAAACACTTGAACTTATCAAAGGTAACAGCGCAGCATCAAAATCAATCGTGGCAAATTTGCACCGCTTTTTCTCTAGAATTTTGACGTTTGAATTGCCATGCAATTCATAAATCATTATATTTTCACACTCATTCAATTTGTGTGTGTGTTTTTAGAGGTGGACGGGGACATTAAAAGATCGAGAAAGGGAAGGTACAAAGCTGGGGGTCCTGTATTGAATATCGTCTTCAGCAACGGAATCCGAGCTGGCGATCTGGACGGAACTCTGAACAATGTAATTTCGATTTGATTACTTCATTTTATTCATGACGTCATTTTCCGTAACCAGTCATTTGTTCAACCCAGAACGTCTGAAAGTTTGCGACCTGAAATCGAAATCTTGTTAGTCTGATAACTAGGTGTTGTAACAGGTCTTATCTTATTGCATTTGATGAATTGAAGACAGACACTTGCCACCTATATTAGTATTCTGTTATAATGATGTAAACAGTCTCTACTCCAGTCAGATGAAAGTGATAAAGGAGGCTTCTTTGGCAGCCTGAAGACCGACATCTACCTGCAACGACTCTCAAGACTTCAGATCAGTAACTTCGTCAGACCACGGGTACATTGCTTCTTAGTTTTTATCTGAAACATATGTGGCGATGATCTATAATCGTTGAGTTTTGATCTAATTCAGTGATGTCAGATTCAAAGATCTAACAAAATAGTTAGTGTTACTTTGACTAACTTTCCCCCTGCATTTCAGGCCTCCTCAACCTCCTTCAACTTCAACTCCCGGGTAGATTTCGACCACCGTTCTGGTACCCTCAACGCCCGCCACACCTCAATCTACATTATTTCTGCCACCATAAACCTCCATCGGATGCCCGATGACGTGACCGAGATGCCAGACTTTGAGGACAACATTACCGGGAGGATCTGTATGGATGATAACTGCTTAATTTGGTAGGTACTAGCTGGACCAGGTGGTGGTAGGGGGTTCTCCTGGTTTTATTCACGTGAACTCCACTCTTATCACATTTCTTTGACTCATGAACTGTTGGACCGCTCCAATGAAATGGCGTCGAGTATCTAAGTAAATGTGGATGCTGTCAGTGAGGTAATGATCGTTATCGGTTACAATTCTTGACGATAAGTAGTTACAAAATATAGTATGACGTTGTTTGTTTGCAGGGCACTGGAGACCAGGACTCCTGTACTACATACCAAATATTCTACTCTTAAACTGGATGGAATTGTCCGTGTGGAGGTAAGATTGTGGGATATTTATTATTTATTTTATTTATTCTCTGAGTAAATGATATTTTAGGATGTGATTTGAATTGAGGATATGATTTTTACTAATTCTATAGTTTTTCGTTGTGAAGGTCTGTTCGACAAAGAAATGTATAAATGTCGCCATGGAATTTGGAATTTATTGCTGAGATGCACCATTAAATCTTTTAAATGTAGTTCAAACCGTTAAATATTTCCAGGCTGGCAACAAAGTGTTCCTGTTTGTAGAAAACAACTCTGGTCTGAACTTCAAAGTGCTGCGAAGTTCCACGTTTTCAGCCTACGCTGTCGGAAGTGGAGGTTGACTCTGAAAAATCCCGTCTTTTCCTTAGTCTTAGATCAGAACCGTGAAAACTGCTTGCAAAACTGGAGCCAACATTAGCTCCCTTGCCCATGTGCTTGTGTAAACGTTGACCGAATTGTAGAAAGAAAATGTCTCGAACAATTCTCAATTCTACTCCGGAGAACAAAAAGTGTGAAAGAATAATTGGACACAAAAAGACTTGATCATTATTTGTAACACCCACTGGAGTAATTTTGTTAACTCTGGCAAAAATGAGTTTTATCATTTTTTCTATCTGTGTGCCATTTTTGTTCTTATGATTACATACTCAGTCGTAAATCATAATTAAGTTTTGAACTTGAATTATGAAGGTATGAACATTCATTTTTAAGAGTCAGATTCAGCTTGCTTTTGCATTTTTGTCTGTGACAGCATAGTATTACTATTAGTTTATCTGTTTGTACTTGTATTTTAATTTATTTGTTACCTATTAGTAAAAAACTAAAATTGAAAGATGGTTAGTTTTAATCCTGTCTTGAATCCAAATACCTCTTGACTAGCAGCATTCCATTTACATTTTTATCATACCTGAGCACCCTTCAAAGAAAGTGGGGAAAAATTTCGGCAGAACATTCAACATTGTATGATACCCTTACCCTGCCAGTGCCATGCCCCATGCGGCATTTACAAACGTTTTAACACATCTATTTTAATATTTTAGGTATTCAGGTTAATTTCACGCTCAACTATTTCATATTTATTAGCTTGAACGTCTACAACCTACTAAAGGGTGCTCATGCAAAGCTTCGCCTTCACTATCAATAGGTGCACTATTTCCCTCCCATACAGTTACATGATTTCAATGTTTTCGTTAATCGTGAATGTCAAATTACCCCTAAAGCGTGAACAGACAGGAACGTTTAACTTGGAATGGAACAATTTATGGCTAAAAGTTCTCCCGTTAATTTATATTATGTATGTTAGAATTTATTATTATATAACCCTTGTTGAACAGTACAGTGGTACTGTCACATAGTAAACTATATACTCCGATCGAGTATACGCTGCGCTCTCAGTCTAAGTCTAACCAGGGCAGAAGAAACTGGAAATGTTCCCCCAATGCGTACTGAGATAATGATATTTACTGTTATTCTTGTCCAAACTTGACGGCACAGTCTGGGTCACGGACTATGCTGTACGTGTGTGGGGTAGATAATCTTGCTGTGATACAGCTCTATTACATACTACAAATTTGGGACGTAACAAAATCCAAAACTCGTTTCAGTTTGTAGTATAAAGTTTTCTGACTTAAGCTTTTAAGGAAGGGGTAGTTCGTATTATATATATAAGGTTGAACTTGAAGCTTGGGTTGCGTGGCTGATTAGATTTTGCCTACTCTGATCTGTGAGACTGAGTGTGTCCGAGCGTGCTAAATCACTTAACACTCGAACTTCGAGGTGTTTCTAAAAGGCCCCCGACGCCGGACACGACACTCGACAGTTGGAACCAACTTGCAACTTAAATCGATGTATTTCCTTGAATTTTAACATATATGCTTCCTAGTTAGGGATTGGGTTAGGGTCGGGGTCAGAGTATACTTATAGGGGTTTGATTAGTCGCTCCCTCATCTAGAGAACACGTTTAGCATTTAGGTAAGTCACGTGATAGTCCAGTGTACCGTGGACGCGCACCATGACAGCTAAGGGGCCATATTTGATATTGTAATTAACATTAAAACGTCCGCCGAAATCGCCCAGAGTTCTTTTATGGCGCAAGTTATATCTCCACCGAAAGCACACTCCCCAAATTGATGCATTGCTGTAACTTCTTTCAAACTTCATGAATGGAGATAAAATCTTTTACAATGTTGAATGTATTCAGAATTAATCATTAATATGTGATATGCAATTATACTAGGGGGTGCACGATAAAAATAAACTTGCTCGGATTTTTAAAATTTTTGTACCATTGTTTTCTAGTTCACATAGCCATGTGCCTACGCGTACTGCGTGACGCGCTTGTTTCACGGTCGCGCGCTACTGCAAGCGAGAGGGCTCTGGTTAGAGCAAGTTTTCTAGAGACTGTGAAAAGTTTCGCAATACCAAATTTGTTATACCTTTTCGGAAAGATCAGTGAGTTTCGCCTAGGTGCCATATTTGATGGTGCGCGGCTTTTGGAGCAAAAGTAGCTGTAAAAGTCGCGAAATTCGTTGATTTTTGTCGTATTATTCTGTCATATCTTCGGTTCCTTGATTGAGATCATTCTGAAAATTGGCGAAGACCTTCCAATAGGGCTATTTTCACAACTGTCCGAAAAATACGCTGCTTTTACATTTTAGCTGTAAAATAATGTTTGATGGTTGGATATGCTTAAAATTTTTCGAACACTTTCCTTGTAACAGTGGAATTCCCACCTACGAGTTAAAACTGAAAGGTGGCGCGCCTGATGATAAGGTATGATAATGTCTTGATTCACGATGTCAATCCTTCGCATCTCGCCGATCTGTGGTTGCGAGAAGCATTATTGGATGCGCGCGCGCGACCCAGTAGTGCATCGCGCTACAAGATAATGTCAGCCTTGCGGCGTGGCTGACATTACACATTATGCATTAGCTTTCATTACGTTTGAATTATCGCATATATACTCTGCATACACCGCGCCACCTTTCAGTTTTCACTCGATCGTAGGTGGGAACTTAACTGTAAGTCTATGAGTAAGCTTGCCAATTTTTGTTAAAATTGGATCAAGGGAAGGTTACTCAATACGCATTTGTTTCAAGAATTTTGTGCTGGCCGGAATTAGCGCTAAAAAACCATCCAACAGTCGGCACGCGCGGCTCACTGTCGATGGCGCACTACCTAATACAACGATTCCCCCGTTCAATTTTGGTCGAATAACGCCAATTTAGTGCAAAATCAAGCAAGTCTAGTTGTAAACAAATTTCATACTATCACTATCAAATTGGATGTGCTATCGCATTTCGGTGGAGATATAACAGCTGCGCCTAGTACTTTTATTTAGCATTGTCAATTGTAATATAGTCATATTGCATATATACATTAATAATAAACACTACAAGTATTGCAAATTTGGTGTTGATACTGAGCTTGAGCGCAAATTTGAGAACTTCGTCGTTCCGGGCCGCGTTGCAAGTGCAATACTGCATGCAATATCATGTGTGCTTCGTTTTGACAAGATTGTAGCATTAACAATTGAGCATGCAGACAGCAAAGCTAAACGGACTGTGAACTAAAAAAGGTTAGCATCGTAAATTTGACAGGTGGGACCAAATTTAATTTAATTTGACCTTATTAGGCTTTTTCTGTTCATTGCAATTGAAGCTGCGGCAGAATAATTGTAAGTTTATAAACTAACAAAACGCGCGCCGAGTTGGACTCACATGCAATATGCATGACGGTTTGAAACAAGTATTTATATTACCCGTTAACTTCACATAGCCATGAGTCTACGCGTATACTGCGTGACGTACTTGTTTCACAAGTAAAATAGTTAAATAATCCTATGTCGCCTTTGGCGGTTGCGTGCTGCTGCAAGCAAAACACAGGAGGAGCAAAGTGCAAAGAAACTGTCACTAACTGCTACAAACTGCCACTAACTGCTACAAACTGCCACTAACTGCCACAAACTGCCACTAACTGTTACAAACTGCCACTAACTGGTACAAACTGCCACTAACTGCCACTAACTGCCACTAACTGCTACAATCGCGCCCACGCACTGCGCGCGCAGTTTGCAGCAGTTAGTGGCAGTTTGTAGCAGTTAGTGGCAGTTTGTAGCAGTTAGTAGCAGTTTGTGGCAGTTAGTGGCAGTTTTCTGCAGTTGCGCCGAGCCTTTTAGCAATTTGTCTTTGGCGCCTTACATGCCACATGACTTATTGACATTGTATAATTGGTCTAAAAACAATTTTGTATTATTAGAAAATATATGAATTTGGGACAAAATAATTTACTATCGAAGGAAACAAATATAAACTTTTTGACAAGAAAAGCGATTATCAACTAGTACTACAGTTACACAAACACTGCATGGCAATACGATTAAATTAAATCCGGGTATCGCTATTAGTATTGTGCTATTGTGCCAAAATTACAATATTATATGGTCAATCGTAATCATTTGCAATTTGGAAGACCCCTCTGCTGATATGTAAACGACTCCTTATACTAACTTGATTGTAGCAAACCGCGTGATGTTTATTGATCATCAGTTCGATAGGACGATAGTTATGAGAAAAGCTACAAAACTACAATTTCCATTACCAAAGTTTTAGAACTAAACGCTTGATTGAGGGTTCAGAACTTTATTTGAATAACAGGGCCTCCCACGGATTGAACAGTTTTGTGCGGAGAAAGAAGTGAAGAGAGTACGAAGCCAAAGAGTTCTCCGACAATTATTCCCGCCAGCCTCGCCGCAGCAACGCCAACAGCAAGCAGGGACTTATCCATGCAACATATATAAGTATATACAACGCTGATCCAGAATGGACATGCCACGGTACCACTATAATATTTGTGATTTGCTTCGATTCTCCGTGATACTGATAGCACTAGCAGTAGCAGAATTTGCTGCTTGTAATTCCTGGGCGTTGCTAAACCTGTCATTCCGCCCTTATCCGCCCTTCCTACCTATCTGCTATAGACATATTTTTAATCGCCATAATATGTTCAATGTTAAATCAATGTGTTTAACTTAATAAATGCAAAAGCCTGAGCGAGGTTACCCAGGTAAATTAATCTTTGCAAGTTGAATTTGCGTTTCTGAAACTACTCTCTGCACTGGTAATTGTATTTAAAAGGGAACACAAAATGATGTACGTGACCAAAATTATTCCCCGCGCGACGCGATAAGATTTAATTCTCTTTCAGCATTCAGTTTCAGTTAATTCTGGGTAATTCGCGCGTAAAATCATATTGGCACGTGTGCGTTCCATGTTCTCAGAATTAGGCAACGGTAAGTTTATAATCTTTAACTTTAACTGTTTGGAAACAGGTGTTGTTATTTTATGCTGGGAATCCCAAAAAGTGCTTGATCGGCCAGTTCATCATTGTGTCTCGCTAAATACTTGGCTAGTTTCATTATGCTTCGACTAATCATCACTGTTGGATTGGGGATGGTATTCAACTGTTGAGGGCTTACTGTAACAACCATTGATACGCTTATAGTTATCAAACAGCAACTAACCGATATCCAATGGGTCTCAGCCATAGAACAATACAGGCTCAATTCGGTGGCTCGGAAAAGTATAATCTATAATATTGAAAGGTTCATGCGCAAATTTACCTAGTTTAGCCGTCATTGATTAGGTACAGACCGACGGAATTGCTCATCAGCAGATCTTGCGCTTCCGCTGCTGTATCGGACGTCTGTGATCAAAGCAGTAAAGTCGACCTCCCATAAATTGACAACAGGATGTCCCCTGATTCTCCTAGGTTTCTAGATAGAAGTCGACTATTTATGCTCAATTCTCGAGCCGATAATAGTCTTGCTTAGAT